CTTTGTAAATTTATTGAAGGTTTCATTGCATCCGTGTTTGGACTACCACGCGTTTCGCCAGATTTGGCTAAATTGTTAATAATAGTTGATGGCTAACGTAAAAATAATGTTCGAGCATACTTATCTCGGCTACGGTTTCACGTTTGTAAAGAAAAATTCTGTGCAATTGCCGCAATGCGTTCGTTGTACACTTGTTTGCCTTACGACCTTCTTCAATGCTTATATGAAGCCCACATTCAGATTCAGATTCAGATATTTTATTTCGTCATGCAAGAATCAATATGAGGCAAAAGAAAACACAGTAAACTGAAAAAACGAAAAACATTGATTCATTGCAATTGACGCGGGGTCGCGAATAGACTCAATGAGTCATCTAGTCAGCGACACCTTGGTGCTGTATTAAAGCAGCAAATATAGCAATGAAGCATATAGAACAACAAAAAAACGAAAATTTATCTTCAGAAATACACAAATCATTGAAATACAACAATAGATTCGAAATAAAATACACAAATCATGGAAAGACAACAGTAGATTCGACAACAAAAAGGAAAAATTATCTTCAAAAATACAAAAATCATGGAAAGAACCAAAGCCACAAATTTTCAAAGTTTGCTAAAATAAATCGCAGCTTCTTCATAATAAAAGCAAGTCATGTGGAAAAGATAAGATTCGACCGCATGGGACAATTTCAGATAAGTCTAAAGGCAATAGTGACGGCGGCTTATGCAGTTCCACTGCAAATAGCAGGGACCAAAAAGCCCCATAACATCGGCGAGACATTGGTAAAGCCTTGTCTACTCTAGAGCGGTGGTCGGCAACCTTTTTGAAGTGACGGACCGGTAAAGCCTGACCAAAATTGTGGCGGACCACCTCATACAAACGGACTAAGCCTATGCCATAAACGATACGCATTAGGGAAATTTATGTTGAAAATATGCTAAAAAACGAAATAGATGCTATTTAATGCGATATCTGTATTTGTTTGCTGGCCATTAACTGTTCCCATATTGGAGCTGTGGTAGACCTTGACACACGTAACGTGTTTATTACATCCAGACTACTTCGATATGCAGTTATCAATATTGGAAACCAGGCCTCACGTTAATAAGATTTCGGAAAAGGTAACAATGCCTGTAAACCTTCTGACTCTAGGAATGGTATTGATTGATGTTTTTTTTTTGCCCAAATTATTTTTTTTACCCGATGTGCTCGCTTTTTAATTTTCCGGATTCTGAAGTATAGAATTTGCACTGACTAGGCATGACCGGTTAGCTATGAGCAAGTAGCTCGTAGTAGTTACGTTCTTAGCGAGAAATATTTTGTTGGAGATATCTTATACCAGTGGTTCTTGAACAGTGGGGCGCGCCCCACAAGGGAGGCGTAGACCATTACTTGAGGGGGCGCGGGAGTCGACAAATTACAAAAAAAGGGCGCGGATTGAAAAGTTTGAGAACCACTGTCTTATACAGACTGATGAGAAACATTCTTATACAAGCGTGGTGCAAACAATTGACCCAGCATTATTACGACATACTGATATTTCAATTGTTTGTGAAGTCAGACATGCTGCTCAAATGCGTTATGTAATGTGTTTGTCTGGTTTGCTGCTGGGTGCTGATTTTTAGTCGTATGTTTGTGGTTGGATTGTAGAGGTTTTATTTCGGCCTTGTCCGTTTTTGTGTCACTATTCTGCGGACCGGCAGTAACCTTTCCCCGGACCGGCGATGGGCCGCGGCCCGGTGGTTGCCCACAACTGGTCTAGAGTGTGCAAATATTTTGCTGAACAAGTCTGTGGCGTCAAAGATAAAGCAGGTCTCCTTGTCCAATAACAATGATGCCCATTTATAAAAATAGATCCGGACATCCGGTCTATCATGTCAAAATAACAACAGCAAAATTGATATTGACGGTATAATGTAAACTCAGATGCGTTATTTGTAATCTTATGTGTTGAATTATTCTATTCGATGAATAACACTGTTTTTTTTTACACGGATCGTCACTATCTTGGAATGCTAGAGGGTGCAATAAATGTTTTTGCGGGGTTTCAACTTCTGCACCAGGATAGGATTTACATGTCATACCGGCGGAGAGGAAAGGCGATAAGACGGCTTAGCCACGTCCTCTCGTCCGGTTACCATTCTATGTCGGGTATGGGATCGGTTAGTTATCTGTTTTCGGAAGCATGGGCTTAATGGTGGAAGATGCCGTAACCGACCAGCGGTTACTTGAACCACCCTACGACGGCGAGGAGTCCAGCAATCCTCCCGCACATAACTATGCCAGCATGGGATTCGAACCTGCGAAAGCACGCAGGGTGATAATAATTTCAGAGGTGCCGTGGCGAGCGTATTCCTAACGATTAGCACGATGAGCCACATCGCCGCGCCTAATTGTAGGCATTTACTAAAAAAGTCTTACCGATGTTTTTGACGGGAAAAATATTGTTTTTATGGGAGTCGATATGTTGTGTGAAATGAAAACTCAGCCCAAATCGGTATTGGGAAATTTCAAGCATGGTTGTAAACATTGCCTCGTTTTCGTGGTTTTGCGTGTTTGTCAGATTTCAGGTGTGTTTACGAAATTAGCTGTAAATGAGGTCAGTTAATTGCCATTATGTTTTCCGATGAGTTTTAGTTTAGTTGCGGTAATCAAAATTTAGTCACGGGAAATCTGCGATAGGCTACGCCAAAATTCGCTGTCAGTACAGGTCACCGGTACGGTGATACCTACCTTTTTAGTTATTTACTACTGTTACCTACCTTTTTAGTCATCTACTACTGATACCTACCGGTACCTTTTTAGTTATTTACTACTGATACCTACCGGTACCTTTTTAGTCATTTACTACTGATACCGGTACCTATCTTTTTATGGAGTGATACGGAATGATACCAGGATACCTACCGGTACCGGTACGGTACCTTTTTAGTAGGGTCCCCGGTACCCTGTATTCACTTTATTGTGCGTGAATTGTTTGATCATGATGTAATTTGGATTCTTTCAATCAAAATAGTTCGCCAGTAGGCCGTCTAACCTGTAGACGTACAGTTACTAACAACTGCGAGATAACCTTCTCTATCGTATTATAGACAGACGCAAACGCCATTTGTAAATTCCTGATGCCCAAAATACAAAAAAGGAAAGATCGTTACGTTGGCTTTTGTTTTAGCAAATAAATCGAAATGACCCAAAATGGGATCAAATCGATGTGACAAAAATCATCCCTCAGTGAGAAGCGTTAACATCGGTTTCTGGGTTTCTTGCTACCCAAGCGAGTTATATTGACAAGAAAGCAACATTGGCCAAGACAGTGCCCAATATGGGCCATTCCAAGCAAAAGTTGAATTCCATCAATTTTTTAAAAAGTGTAGTGAAAGTAATTTTTTTTTATTTTTGATATCAAAAGACATTGGAATTTTATTGGACTGCATTCATTTCATCGAACTCTCTCAAAATTTCACCCAGGTTTTTGATGGTTTATAAAAAATGGCCTGAAATGTAGAAATTTTGGTATAATTGACATATTTTGTGATGATTCCTGACACAAAGTGTTTGATTGTGTGGTACAGGTATTTCATATGGAATTGACGCACTGGATTTAAGTTAATAAAGTTTGAATGTTTGCAGTGCTGTAGAACATTTCTTCACCCATGTAACGATTTATTAACAGAATTTTAAGAGATGATAGATGCCGCTATTCCGAAGTGGAAAAATGTCCTGTAGTGTCACGTCCTGTAGTGTCACATACAATGTGCACATTATTGGCATGGATTTACAGTGTTACATTAAGTAACTTGAGCAACACATAGACCAGACTGGATTCCATGGCAGATGCACGCCCGAGGGCCTTAGCGCTCCACAAAAATGCACACGAGCGAATTCAATATTGCACGCTGAGAATTTGCAATTGCTCACCAATGTAAATCGGTTTAAATAGTTTTTAAATCAATAATCTAGTAATATAAATATGCCAAAAAATTATAACTTCACAATTGTCGACTAATACTAGCTTGCTAGATTTGGCCCGATCGAAAAATGCGAAGCAAAAAACACAATATCGTGTTGAATGATAGGAATCCGTGAGATCGCCTCCTCACCAACGCTGGCCAGTTATGGCTCTGATTCAGCGTATTTTTTCATCCAATAATTTTACGCGAATGTACTGAACAGTATCGGTAACCATAGTCGCACAAACACTCTCAAAATTAGCAACAAACTGTATGAATAATGTTTGGGGGTTAAAAGGTCAAACGTCCATTTTTGCTTTGATTCAACATATATTTTATCCAATACCGGTAATTTTACACAGATGTATTGAGAGGTATCTTAGGTCGAAATCAGTTTCACGCGGGCGCAGTTGTTTTGCACGCCGCGAGCTATAATTGCACGCCAGAAATTCCTATTTGCACGCAGGAATTTCTGATTGCACGCCCGATTTCTCATTCAAAAAGGCCATGAAATCCAGACTGGCACATAGAGGGGTAGTTCAGCTACTGCACCAGAAAATATTATGGGCTCCTACTGTACAATCGCAAAAATTTACAGCACAACACAACGTACTGTTAGTGCATGGTGGATTTTCCGTCCTGTAGTGTCACGCTATATTTTACTAAAAATTTTTTATCTACTAAGTAAGGTTGGATGTAACTTTTGTGCAATTTTTTACATATTCAATAAAGCAACTGATTGGACAATGAAACAAAACATGTAGCTGAAAATGTGAAAATATATTGAATTTAACAACATGCAAAATTTCTGGAATTGTCCTGTAGTGTCACTTGGAATAGCCCATATAAGGAACCTAGATTGCCGCAACCGCAAGATTGCCATTGGTTGTATAATGAAAAGATTTTACTTTCTTGTCTCTCGTTTGCTTTTGCATTCTTTAAAAAAGTGAAAACGTAACACAAATCAACACGTTCAGTTTTTTGGAATGGCGAAAAGGGGGATTTCTAATTGTGTTTTTCATTTTTTTTCTGTTTGCAATAGTGCCATTTTTATAGGAAGTCAGTGTTAACTTACTTATAAGAATTCCTTGTCTTACTAGATTTATAGAATGCCTAGATGAAATATATAGTTTGATTTAGTGGTTTTCAACATGCAGAGTGTCACAAAATGTGTGAATTTCATGACGAAACGCCTTTTTCACCAAACGAGCTTTGTTTTAAAGAAACAAGGGATCCCGTATCCAAAAGGTGTGCCTGTTCCTCCAGATTACCCCACAGTAGCATATGTAAGTTTTTTTTGTACAACTCTTGGGCATAATAATCACAAATTTTTTCTCTATTTCAACAAATTATTAACCCTCAGTAATTTTCCTATATGGTTCCATTACATTTGAACCCACGTACATTTGAACCCACGGCGATTGCACCTACAGAAATTTTTATTGTTTTACGGATATTTGAACCCATACTAACCCTAACCCATGGGTTTTGTACCCGCATATAGATTGAACCCGCGAATATACACATGGGTTTAAATGTACGTGGGATCAAATGTACGGTCACCTTCCTATATATGTAGTCTACAGCTCTAAACACATTGATGTCAGAATTTCCTTCAAATGCATATTTAATGTTGACCCAGGGGGTCAAACCTGATAACTCACTTCAATCAATAGTTCCTTGTATTTGTGCTTTTTTCAAAGTAATGTAAATGTATAATAATTAGCCGTTACACACATAGTCATCCAATAACTGTGAATCCTATATGCATAACAGTAAATTAGGGGAAGCTGACTTGGATGACCGTATGGTCGCATGCTCCTTCCAGTCTTTACCAAAAACAGTGTCTATTTATTCCATGTATGCATTTATATTTGTTTTGGTTGACAAATCAATAAATCTCTCTTATCCCAATTAGGATGCTTATTCACTCCCTTCGCTGCAAACAAAGCCTAGTAAAAATATCTACTGATATATCATGATATGGAGCTATAATTTTTAAACGGCCCAGATTTTTTCTGGTTAGACATTTTCTACCCAATTTATTACACAGTGGGTAAGGTGGTGGGCTTTAGATTTGAACATTAAATATGTGACCTGTGATACCTATTTTTTTATGTTTGCATATAAATGTATATTGCAGAGTCTTCAAAGTAATTATCATAAACTTAGCATTTTAAGCATCATGTTTTTCACTCAGCAGTGCTTCTTTAGTTACCTCAAATAGTGCTATACATACCAGTACTGTAGTTTTCATCCTTAATGGATATCACTTATTTCTAATCCTAATATTAGGTGGCATATGGGCTGTCTGGAAAATTGACCACCAATTTCTGACTCCGGGTAAAATAAATTCTGGCTACAACTTGCGGCGAGAAAAATTTTGATTTAGATGCTAAGTTGTAAATATTTTGATACCAGCTCTGAATACTGAAAAAATCAAAATTTGATAAAAAATAAAAATATATGCAAGCGTTCTTCGATAATATGTTAAGAGTGTCTAGTAAACTCAATTCTTTTAGAGTTTCTCCAGTAAATTCTGACTTTTCTATCGCCATAAAAAGTCTGAAAAACCTTTAACTTTTAGGACTTTATATATATGACTCCGTTCTTGACTTCTGACTTTTGGGAATTTGTAAATATGACTCTGCTTATAATTTTTAGTTTTTAAAAATTGCGACTGCAACCCAGAACATGTCAAACTCCCGACTCCACCCTGGCAATCCAGCCCAGAGGTCAGGATGATAAGACGAACTATGTTTATATCACAGGCTGAAAATATGGAGTTCAATTCCAACGTCTCACTCACCCTGGTTGTGATGAATTTGACACAAATTGAAATTTTGTTGTTTTTCCAAGGATAGTAACATAGCGGCTTTTTCCTCAGGGCCTATTTCAAAGTATACGAGCTCGTTAGCATGAATGTTACATGGAACTTTACAACTTTAATTACCGAAATCACAGTCAAAAACATGTTTATTTTTTGTCTCAGTGGAAACTGCCAGATTACCTTGACCCACAGAGGTGGAATTATTTGAAAGAAAATAGATTCACGAAGCATCATGGTACGTTCTCTATGCAACGAGATGCACGAAAACGAGCTGTGGCAACTTTTTATGGACCTTTACGACATCGACTGATGTGTTTAAAAAGAAATCGAATCTTGCCGGATGAATTAAAGGTAGGTGTTTCTGTTGTACTTTGTCGATCTCTTCTAAGTAGCTATCAGTTTAGGACTTATTATAAAGCCCGATTACCATTACTTTCACCAACTAGCATTTGCTTGCTGGCAATGCATCGATATATAATCCCATATAGTTTAGGTAGCCCTCGGTATTTCAGCGATTGCTGGTATCTTTGCTCACCATTGAATCTCCTTTCATTCCTCTTTATTTATGAAAAAATTTACTTAAATCAGGGTTTTATGTGTACTCGCTTAGGAATGGAGACTTGTTTAAACCAGGTGTGTATTTCCCAGCGTGTGCGTAAATGCAGAATCGTTGGTGCTTCAGAAGTATAAGTACCAATATGGAAATAACTAATTTTGTTCGCCGACTTTACATCAAGTTGTATAGATGTACTGAACTTTCAGGCAGGGGGTATATTCACTTGGCTAACACAGACAGACCCCTAACTCGTAATAGAACTAAATGTAGGCAAAATTGTAATAAAATTATGGCCTTAACTCTATCCTGGTACACACACTACGGGGATACCGAATGTTTAGTCTGGTTGAAAAGTACAAGGTCATTAATAACGATATAGCACAGTTGAAACAGCAGCAGAAAAGTCGATGTTTTTGAACTGAGATCTATATTTACTATTACGCTAATTTATTGAGAATTTGATTTTAAATTTTGCTTGTGTTGTACGTGTCCCACCTAGACTAGGTTTAGTAAAGTAAGTTTTTTTTGATTACTATACCAACCGAATTAAAAACAACCGAAAAGAATTTTCCGTGACTTTTTAGCGGTTTATATTTCTGCTGGTGCTGGATATAGATCACAAGCTCTCAGGGTTTTCAAACTTTAATCTATTTATCCATCTATGTTCATAATAACCCCCTTTTCATACCTTAAAACACTTTGGGACCCTCAAGACTGAAAGCCCACGTTATTCACAATTTTCATTTTGTACAAGCAGGAATCTAATGATATGTAAGAAGTGATTAATAAAGCACTGCAATCTTCCTGATTTTAGTTTACCTATCCAATTTAATACACACTGAGTGAGGGGGTGGCTGGTGGGTACAGGATTTGCTCTAAAAAAATAACTATTATGTTGAAAGCTCTAAACTTTTTAAAATTGATAAAATCTTTCAATTTTGACAAACTGTCACATACATACACTCTTGAGGTTATTGACAAAGATGGCGAACCACAGACTAGAGATGTACCGATGTATCGGTATCGGCAATATCGGCCATTTTTTCGGTATCGGTTAGATTAAGGCCGATATTTCAGATATATTTACCTTTTTGATATGGTCCAGAACGTTTTAAAAGATAAGTTGGAATACTACTTTTTAATTTATTTTTTGTCTAGAGAGATCGTGAGCTATGAGCCATACCCCCAATCCCGCGAGAGAATAGGATTCACGTATTTTTAGCTATTTATCAGCCAAATTAGCTCAACTAATTTGGCTATTTTTGCTGGCAAATTTTTATATTGATATTTTTAATATTACCTAGTAATTATGAAGAAATATATCAACACGGCACATAACAAAAAGCAATTGGGCGCCCAGTTTTAAATCATACAGTGGAATTGGGGTCCTTATTAACGGCACATGGACTTTTGGCACGGGTATAAATTCTAACTGTTTGTCGTCAAGTACGAGTGTCATTTAGTCCGACGACATCGATAAACTAAATTCGGACACAATTATCCCTCTACGCAGATATTAATTTTGTTTAACTACACAATTTCTTTATAGATAAATATTTGAAAAATGCTTTTAATTTGAACGTAGGACAGCGGCTCTAGAATGTGTGGGTGATATTCGATATTCTTTTCGATATTCGAAGGTCGCGATATAAACATTAAATTCAAATTGGACATCCCGGCTTATGAGTTTCAATTGAACACCGAGATTACTAGTGTTACTGTACAATGTATCTTAATCAGTTAAAGCATATGGATACCAAACATTAATTTCATATTATGTGACATATATATATATCTTTTTTTTCGATCTGAAATAATGTGTACTGTGAAGTTGTGAACAACGCTCAAAGACCATTGTTTTAACTCGTCTGCCCTACACAGCACACCTAATTAAGTAGTATTTACATAGTATCGGTATCGGAATATCGGTAATATCGACCTTTTTGTAGTATCGGTATTGGCTTTTTTAGCTGGTATCGGTATCGGCGACAAAAGTGGTATCGGTACATCTCTACCACAGACTCGCAAGTCTTGAAGAGATCTGTCATTTTTTGGTGACCCGTCAAGTCAAACTTCACCAACATTATAATTATAGTCCAGATAGGTGTAGTCCAGGGGTGTGCAACATTTTTTGTCCTTGTGCCATATAACCAATTTCGGGCATCTAGCTGGACTACAAAAAAAATTTAGCCTTATCTGTGCAGAAGAGGGCAGGGAAAAAAAACACGGTTATTTCTTGGCCATCGACATGAAAATGTTTAACCTAATTTATACAATATTTACAGGACATTGCATCTGAAGAGATGGTGCGATTGCCAAAAGATTCGATGCACAAAATGGTCAAGAGACGATGCGTTGTTACAGGACGAAGGAGAGGCAAGCGAAAGCGATGGAGGCTCAGTAGAATAGTTTTCAGAAAAATTGCTGATCATGGAAAAATGTCAGGAATTGAAAGAGCTTTTTGGTGAGATATATTTTTGGTTAATTGGATAAAGATTCTACTTTATTGAAGATAACTTTGCATAATTGAAAAGGGGCTGTATTTTTAATCACATCAATTTAGGATAGGAGTTACATATTTATCCCGGGGGAGAGGAAAGTCTTCAAGGCGGCTTAATCAAATGAAGAACCACAAACTCTTGTCTGGTTACAGTTCCATGTCGGGTATTCATTAGTTATTTGTTTTCAGAAGCATGGACTTGATGGTGGAGGAAGCCGTAACCGACCAGCGGTTACGTGAACCACCCTACGGCGGCGAGAAGTCGAGCAATCCTCTTGCACATAGTCATCCCCGCATGGGATTCAAACCTGTGATCCCATGCAGGGGTGCGATGGCAAGCATATTTCTAAAGCTTAGCACGATGACTCGATGAGACACACTGCCGCGCAATTGCAATATTTTTACCTCAGATTTTTCAAAGGCCATTCACAACTAACCGCTGATATCTAACGATATGTTGGAGGAGCTATTATTTTAGGAGGGATTATAATCTTTCTGGTTCGGCATTGACTACACAATTTTTTACACTCTCGGTTGGGTGGTGGGCTGCAGAAGCAGTTTTTGCCTTCTCTCGAAAGATATCTAAAGCTGTAGAACCAGCTTGTGTGACAGCTAGTGCAGCAGCCAACAGATCTCATACTATAGTACTTGCTTGTGGGAGGTATCACTCTGTAGTGTGGTAGGCATCATGCTATAATACTAGCGTGAGGTAGATTTCTGAATGCTCACTGCCATAGGGTGTTCACATAACCGCTGTTCAGTTATGGCTTTCCTAACATCGAGTTTTGGCATCTGAAACAAATAACTGGGGTCAATTAATCCAATACTTGACACGACTCGTAACCTGACAAAAGGCGAGTAGTTCTGTATATGATTATGCTGTCTCTACATGAGTGAAAATGAAAAATCCTATCCTGGTATAATATCTGGGTGCTATCTCAATGAATTATGTTTATTTTTCAGGGATGGAGGGTCACAAGGCAATTATGTCAGTTTATGGAAACAGACAAAGAAGAAGAAACATTGATATTTCTATTGTTTTATACTATTTATAAAAGTACTTTGATTTGGAGACCGACTTGTTGATATATGTTGGAGCATATAGGGTTTGGAAAACCAGTATTTAATGCAGTGGTTCCCAACCTTTTATGGCTTGTCGCCCCCTTTCGGGGGCTTTTAGCACTCAAGACCCCCTGTTCACCTATCCAATGGTATTTATAGTGTTGTTTTGATTGGTAAATTCCAAATCCTATTATGTCCAAACACCCTGGAAAGACAAGGGACCACGGTTAAGTAATGTTCATCTTGTAGAGTAGGCTACCTGTGTGTATTGTCAGTTTGTACAGTTTTCAAAACAAATTATCTACCTGCTCATCTATTTGTTAACGTTACGCAATGAATGGCTGCCCAGATCGGCAGTTATGTATTGGGTTTTGACCGATCTAGCCATATTTAAAATGTCTTGCTTCATTAATTGATGTGTTCACTGTAACCTGCTGTTGTGTGGACTAAAAATATAGTATAGAAGCGTTCCCAGTCGAAAATTCCGCGTATGGCAATATATCCGATTATATCTTGTTTAAATTCGTATTTCTTGACAAACGGCAAAGTTTCGAGAGAAACCCAACATAATATTTACAATGTCCAGAAAGCATTTTTCTTTCGCGGGCCTCCTAAAACAATTTATGTTGTTTCCCTTCGTTTTATTTTTAGTGTTTTACAATGCCGCTTTTCAATCGAAAAATTTGGATTCACTCCTTTATTATTATCTTTAGCATCTGGTCGTCGACTACGATAATATAATAACTCGTTTTTCACAAAAACTCACAATTTCATGGGAGAACCGAAAACTAATTATTGTCGTCCTCTTGGAATAAGACGTGTTATATGTTGGTGAAAGTTTATAATTTTTCAGGGAAAATAAATACCAATGTGAGGGTGCTTACGGCCCTAATTGCACGTCGCGCTGACGAAAATTATTATTAACGACTTTTTTCGTCTCCCGAAAGAGGGGGCCCAACCCGCAAAATGGCTACGCCCCTTTGTCGATGCGTCGCCGAAGGGCCGAGATTGCTTGAATTGAGCCTTATAGTCAGCTTGGTTGAAAAAATAAAGGCGTAGAGACGAAAATTTCATTAAGCCTCATTCTTACAACGGTACGCTGACAATACTATTATAGCCCAAGGTCTGCTGTAGATATGTCAATGCTACGTTTTTTTTAATTCACGGTTGAAATGACGCTCATTAACGCCAAGACAGCAAAAACAGCCGCTGACGACACGTGACACTATTGTTACCAGAAGGACCCTTCTGTCTCGGCATTGCCTGCCGATTTATAGCAATTTGTTGAGGTAAAATATTTAACTTGACATGAAGAACCTGCGACGCCATGTTCCGCAGCAATTTTTTGAGTGCAATTTCGCAGCATTTGCATTAAGACATAAATCAATACGCCTTTTCCATTTTGCTCTATTCTTGAATCATTTACTGAAAACTCGACCTTTTCTGACCTGCTATAAATATTCCTTTCATCAAATGCACCAAACGACATAGATAGAAATGCGCGGCCATATGCTTTGGATTACTTCGACAGCGAAGTAGTCCGTGGAGCGATTCTTTTAGCTGTTGTTGGATGTCAGTGACGACTGTTATCTGGCTTTGTTTGAAGCAAAAGTCATGGGCGAGCGTCGTAATACGTCATTATACAAAAAAAATGGCCCTGCCTCAAATTTTGCACTGGATACGCTCTTGTCAACAATCCACACTGCAATAGTGAGCTGTGATTAGGCAAATGGCATGCAACGAATATCTTTACTTTGCAACAAAACTATCACTTTTAGCGCGATTTTACTGACCCCTCCCAGCTTCTAATTAGAATAATAGAATTAGACTGTTATACATAATTTTCAATGCATCGATACCGGGAATTCATCTTAATATGTACAATAGTCGCATCCACGCTGGCGAGATAAAAGTAGCGTGCCAGCCTTGCTAAGATATCGTACACTTAATTTGTTGAGTATTTAACAAGGGTAAACGTTTTACCACATGGCTTGACAACCATTTATCGCTCACGAACCAAAATTAAAAGATGCATATTTTGAATCACAATTTAACCCACGAATTAGAAGTTGAAATTTAAAACTCGTGAACTTGTTCGTTTTACTTCAAGAAAAAAAAATTAAAAATGATATTTAATGTAACACTTTTTGCTGCATCACGCTTGATACGTTTTCGATATCACCAAATAGGAAAACTTTTTCTTAATTAGGACACTGGATGAAGGAAATATTACAACACTTTATATAGTGGAATCACTAACCCGTGTACTCAGCTTGTTCTTTGTAATGTTCATTTCCGAAAATAATTGTTCGCACGCATATGTACTTCCAAACATCGATGTGATTTTTTTATGCATGGTTTGTCAAATTTGGATCGAATAGAATATGAATTTATTTTCTCATTGCATCTCAAAAAGTTCCATTTATTTATTTTCTGCGCCATTGAACCCTTATCAGCATCAACTTTTCTGCGTTTGTTGCCATTTGTCGGATTGTAATTAAGTCATAGGCTCATTAGACGGGTAATTGTGAGTTATATACTTGTTAGGTTATAATACAATTTAGTCTACACGTGTCTCTCAATAAATTCTGTTACCTAACGAATATAAAACAGCCGTTTTGATCCCATAATTTAGCGAAGCGTCGCGGGCCAGAATATTTTACTTCACGGGCTGGATTTGGCCCACGGGCCGTAGGTTTCCGACACCTGTTTTACTATTTCTATTCACGCGACGATATGTATTGCATTTGTAGTAATGTCTATAATGGCATTACTACCCTCTCAAACAGGGGATAAATTCGTAAAAACATTTAACGGATAAATTAAGTCCTTTCATCATTGTGTTGTAATGTATCCATGTTTAGCAGTTTATTAATTTGAAACTCAGCGGCACGTGCCATAACAAAGTAAGTGTCTTTTATTCAAGCCAATAAGGAGGTGATTGGCTGGTTTGATTTTGGCTTTTTTGATACCGGTCTCATTTTTAGCAGCCATTTTATATTTTCGATGCAAGTTTGCCAGAGGCACGGGAACCCAATACCGATATTTTTGAATATAAATATCGAATGCATTTGAAAATAAAATCAAGTAATGAAGCTCATCTTAGTGTATGAAGGAACTTGTATACAATAAACAATGCAGCAACTGTTATCTACTGCTTGGCTATTTATCAGGCATTTTACGTCCGCAGATTGCCGTGATATTTTATAGTAGGCCTAAGGCTTTTATTTTTCGCAAGTCGAAGCAATCATGAGTTACGCTGAACAGAATGAATTTATACAAGGCAAGATATTATTATTTTGCGCAACAGAAAATAATACCGGTAAAAAGGCCATACCTATTAATTATTATTATCAAAATTATTTGCCAAAAAGCGGGGAAAAGTATATGATTTTTTTCCTAATAAACCAACTTGTTTTTCCGGCTTGTGACTATTTATTGAGTATATATCGTAGAGAGAGAGAGAGATTTATTTCCACAAACAATAAAAAACAATATTAAATGATATTGATAATTTTTTATAAAAGCAATCGTAGCAATCCCGGCTTTGCATAATTAACAGTTCATAATTAACAGAGAAGCCTTACAAGTGAATGACGGCAATGTTCACGACACAAAGGTGTTGCAACTACATGCGGCGCACGCTCGCACAAAAAATAACAATCAATCAGAGTGCCGATTCTATTTCATGTCATTACGATACATGACAAAGCGCAGAAAATCGTTTGCACAGAGGGGGTCAGTAAACGCGCCCAGTTCTGGCAAAAGCTACCAGTTCTGTGAAAGAAGCCGAATCTTACTGTTCGTGCATTATCGACTCAATTTATCAACTATTTGCGCAGTTTTATTTCAAGTTGTGACATCACAATATGGTGTATGGTCAGTTGATTTTAGCCGCCATTATTATATTTTTCTGTCAAGTCACAGAGCACTGGGCGCGCCGAATTTCAACTTAGTTTGCCTTGTAAAAGACACTATGCCGAGGATTAGTGGGAATTTAGGAAAGCCCGGATAATGATAACTTGTTTAAATGTCTGAGTTACGAACCGGTTCTTTCTGTGTATGTTCTTCGAGGCGGATAGGTACATGGTACATACATGGACTAGGAAGCCGATGCGAGGTTGTGCTTGGCCCCACCAATCGGGATGTTATCCCACAGCGGCGAGGTGCTCAGCAATTTTCCACCACAGGATTCGAACCCGCGCAGGGTAATCAGAGGTGTGTTGTCAAACATCGTCCCAACCTTAGTAGGTTAGTACCCTACGATGCGCCGTACCGCCCGGTCGATTATTATTACATTAATTGAAGAATTTCATGTTAGAACTATAGATAGAATTGGATTATCAATATGTTGGAAGCATAGTGGACAACATTTCGCGTTTATAGGTCGTGATTTGGATTTACGGGAATATCAGATAGAATTGGATACTACTATAGAAACAGCGATGGACTAACTGAAAGGCCAAGTAGATATCCAGCCAACTTTGACGGCGGGGTGAGTAAGCTATTATAAAACATAAATTAGCAAATGTTGAATGTGCTTACCTTTAACATAAAAAAGTGCCGTAACCACTTACCGAATCTCTTATTTTATCGGTTACCCGGCGGCGGCTGCCGCTCTGGATTTCATGGCCTTTTTCCACGAGAAATACAAGAAATGCAAAAATACCTGTGTACAATCAGTGACCGCGGCAAGCCAAACGTCTGGGCCCAAGTTTAACCCTAGATGGTCTTACTTGAAAAAACGAATAAACAAGTGTAAGATGATTTGAACCAGCGTTTCCCAACCTTTTTTGGTCGCGGACTATTTTCTCATCTGCGAAAACCTTCGCGGACTCAATGTGCGTTTATTGCAATCGCACTCTGTGAAGAAGCAATAAAACCAAACACACCCGAATTTTATTGAATCAAAATCGGAAATTCGCCGCAATTACGCGTTCGTAAAAAGAACCGACTTTTTTAGTGTATAATGAATGGCCTTTTCTGTCGCCTAATATTTAATCCATGACAACAACGAAAATTTAAAATGTCTCTGTAGATTATAAGCGACTTAGTGCTTATGATAAGGCTTTACAAGAAGCCTATAACGTGTTGGGCGGTGACACTTCGCGCTATTAACTTCCTTTTATGTATAACCTGCCAGGTTTCTCGATAATTAACAACTCCACAACTTTGAATATGAACGAAATATATTGCAGTCGATAAAATACCAGTCTACATGCATAAGTACGATATAGACGAATAAATGAACGACGAAATTGTGTGATGATAAGAACAAATACAGAAATAATTTCAGTATTATAGAGACACAAATAATCACAGTATTGTAGAAAGTAGAGGTCCAAATCAAGTAATGTTGAGGTCAAATGATCATTGTTGAGACGCAACGATCAACTGTTGAGGTCGAAATGATCATTGTAGAATACGAATGATCAATTGTTGAGGGTTGCTAAAGTTTACGACCAACCCAACAAGCATGTTAACTACATACTTAATTCTTAAATAGCGAAAACAATAGCAACGTCAAATTAATTATACAATACGAATCAAAACCAGTCATGTATTCAAAAAACAGGCAGATAAATCCGCTCATTGCGGCAAATAAATTAGCACTACTTAAACGGCAAACTCCTAGCACGAAATAAATTGTAAACAGTCAACTGGTAATGATTCGAAATAATAAACAAACAAAAACGAGAGAAAAGAAAAGGCCGATATCAGACTTTGTTTACACCGACATGCTCATTCATGCCCACGAACAGATGGTGACATCGCCTTGAAGGAAGTAGTTTATTAGCGGTCATTCGACAAAGTGCATTGACCGATTTCTCTCGAGATAGCCCCGGGTCAAATGTATACGAAATAAAACTAAGAAACTTTGTCTGTAACAGTCTCTATATTTTAATTTAAATTGTGGACATGGTAACTTGCGGTTGCGTCGATTTACGACAAGATGAAAGCATTACTTCTTTAAAATGCCACGGCAATCTACGAACATATTAATTTGAGGATATATTGCGCGATTATATTTAGTTTTGATACATATTTTTTGCGATCTTGCGAATTTGTTATCGCTTGCTAACTGCTATAAATTTCCAGAAAGTACAACTTGATTTAGTACTTATCAAAAATATATTTAAAGTATATTAGTAATTCAAAAATACACATTCACCGCCTTGCTTTATTGTTAATTTAATTGTGATCTGCGTCGCATTTTAATTTCCGGTTGTGTTGACGAAATAAATGCGATACTACTCGGAAAATATAATGACAATCAGTGGACACAAAAATGCGTGGTAAAGTACCCGATTATATTTTGTTTTGGTTCGTATTTTTGTGAATTCGACAAATCTGAGATGTCCGAACAGCATTTACTGGTGACCGTACATTTGAACCCATGTACATTTGAACCCATGTGTATATCCGCGGGTTCAATCAATATGCGGGTGCTAAAACCCATGGGTTAGGTTAGTATGGGTACAAATATCCGTAAAACCAAAAAAAATTCCATAGGTGCAATGGCATGCAGGTGCAATTGTCGTGGATTTAAATGTACGTGGGTTCAAATGTAATGGAACCGCATTTACTGCATGCGCTCCAGTACTTTACGTACTAATGTGGAGGCCATAAAGCGAAGAATCCTAAGGAAAAATGCCCTGGTACCAATGACATTAAACATGTCATTGCTGGTGCGTATACTACGACAGCACCCGAAATTTTGCGATTTGCAATGTCTAAAAAAGCGTTTTCAATCGGTCGCGGATCATCATAAAAAAAACTTATGGTGTTATGGTGTTCTCTGTTTTATTTTTAGTAAAGTATTTTCGCTTTTCAATTTAGAAAATTTGGGTTGCCACCATTGGCGCCTTTAAAAATTAATTCCTCGTTGTTCGAACTCGCGAGAAACGCCACATAGGTATCTGTAGACGCGTGTGCCGACTCGTGTTTTCGCCGGAAATCCGCAATTGATTTGTGAAACCCAATCGTTTGATTAATCGACGCACAAATGACCTGTCGCGTCACCTGTTACCAAATTTTCGAATAGTAAATTGCTATTCTGATAGTTGAATATTGGAATATATGCCCAGCCCTACTCAGTAACCAGTAATTATTGACTCGATTAATGTTACGTGAATGAACTTTCTTTGATTTATGTAAATTCCAACGTAAATCGTAACTTGGTTGATAGTTAAGTTTCGCAGAAACGTTTGCGGCCCGCAGTGAATTTCTGTCTTGTTGCGGAATCATTCAAACGCTCCGCGGACTCATTTGAGACCGCGGACTCGGGTTGGGAAACACTGATTTAAACCAAAGGCCGGCAACCCGCGGACCAGGTTATAGTAGCAACACGTCTATTTTGACGATTATAGTTTTTACGTAATAGAATTTATTGTGAGACGGGTGTAGACTAAATTATATTATATATAACCTAAGTATATAATTCACAGTACCTGAGGTTATAATTTAATTGTATATAAACAAATAGCAACTGAACGCAGAAAAGTGGATGCTACGTACAAAGGATTCAATGACGCAGAACCCCGGAATAATCTCAACCCATCTGATTTATTTTCAAGAAAATATCTATTTTACTTCTTCCGAGAGGCTTGGCGTACTGTGGCGCGTCGTGCTGAACATTAGAAATATGCTCGCCACCCCCAAATATATTCGTCAGTATTTAAACACATGTAGTTTCCGCCTTTCAATAATATCATTGTTCGAAACACGCCTCGAGAAAAAATGGTTAATAGGCTTGTATATGATAACTGTTTTTTTTGCTATAATGTACACGAGAGCGATATCGGAGCATCCTCACATCTTTGTTACAATACGCGCCGCCAAACGGAAAAAACGTCTTCAAGCACGCTGCCAAATTCTGCATTTCTGTTTAGCTTGCCCTCCCTAGCGCTACGTTACGCGCCCTCATAAGTTGTGAACGAATAAATAATTTTATGTTGCTCTCGTTTTGCAGACAAAATGTATCAGCATCCCAACAATTATAAAGTGAGGTATTCGGATTGCGGATATTTACGAGGACGATAGTCGATTTATAGTTTACTTATGTTATTTTCGCATCGGATAAAATTTCTGCTAAGCCGTCTTTGCGTGAATCCTGAAAGTTATTTTTGAGTTGAAATATTAACTAAATGAATCAGCAATTATTCTACTGGTCAGAGTAATATTTCCCTGTTTAAAAACGACAACGTGTTTCTTAGTTGACGATCGAAGTTCGCCCACCCAAAATTATGGTAATGCCCACCCTGCGCCACCCCACCCTCTGATTAACTTGCGTGGATTCGCAGATTCGAATCCCATGGGAGTGACTTATGTGCGGCAGGATTGCCGTGACTATTCGCCACTCGAGAAGTATGTGTACCAATATGGAGGTAACTAATTTTGTTTGCCTACTTTACATCAAGTTGTGTAAAGAGACTGTCTGAAACCTATGGGTAGGGGGGTATTCACTTGGCTGCTAACACATACAGTCCCCGAACTCGTAATAAAAATAAAAAGGGAAAAAATCAGAATAAAATTATAGCCTGACCCTAACCTGGTACACATACTTCGGGAATACCGACTATTCTCCGCTGGGGTGTAGTTCACGCAATCGCTGGTCGGTTGCGGCTTCATCAACAATCAAATCCAAAAATCTGAAACAAATATCTGGGAATGTAATCTAATACCCGATATAGACTAACTGAACGAGAGTCCGAGGTTCGACATATGAAAAAGCCGTCTTATCGCCTTTCCGATCTCATAATAAATATGGTAATCTCATCATAAATAGAACAGTATTTATTTATATTTACCACATGGGTATTATTTGATTTATTAATGAACGCTGGGTTAAGCTCGCACAGTGAGATTATATTTCATCGGATGTCGAAATATATATTTGTAATGGGATTTTATTATTCGTTGTTTGATAAGTGAAGCCTCCATAAAGGTCTTAAAAATCAGGGTCTTCAAAATTACTCTACAGTTTTATTCATCTGAAGCAAAATTATAATGAATCCAAAACAAATTACAACACACACAAATGCTACAAACTAAATAAAAGAAATTAAGATACAACAGAATGCCTGTTACACGAAAAGTGAGGCTAACTTTGAAATGAGTAAAAAACTTGATACAATGCAGCAAATATTGTTGTTCGATTTCGAACAAGCTACAAAAAAAAAACTTTGCTATAATGTACAGGAATTGTGTGGATAATTTTCCACATTCATTCAAAACCTATGTTGCACCTATTTTGATATCGTATCTAAATATTCGGTACACTTTCTCGATTTCAATACACCAATGTCTATAACTGAGTGAAAAAATTAGGAAAACTATGCAAAACGGGAAGATTTCATACTAATTGGTTTTCCCGCATGTACAGAAGGTTGTCTGAAACGACGTAACCATTGATATAAAGTAACTGTTATTTATTGAGACTAAATCGAAAAAACAACTTGTGGTTCAAAAGTTGAGGTCAGATTTGTGGAATCGGAGTTTAAACATTTCTACAGTATTAACCAGTTCCACAGTCCTGCTAGATGTATGAAGATTCATATATAACTAAAACTTGGATCATGCTTTTATACATTGGAACAATTTAACAAACTATTGATTGTAAATTATGTTTTTCTACAATTTCATAAATTTGGAAAAAACTTCTTCACTAGTTCCGTTTTATTCATTGTTTCTAAAAAATTTCTGAAAAAAGTTTTCCCAAGTTTGGGAACAAAAGATACGTTTTTGGCTCCTAAGAATGAAAGATTTTTTGTCAAGCCAGAATTTGCTATGGATAGATAATTGACAGGCAAAACTTTGAACAACTCCTTGGTATTTTTAGAATCAAAGAATCCAGCGCACAACAGCAAGAATTTGGTGTCAGCGCAATTCACAAGCAGAGTTGTTAATGCATCAGTCCTTCCTGAAAAAAAGACAGTATACAATGAGAAAACGAATTTTTCATGCACAGATAAATTTGAGACATCAACTTTGCCAAAACCCATTAATTCACTCGCTTGGGGACATTGATTGACTTCCGCTATAAAAGCACCTTTTTCCTTTTCGGTTCGGTTAATGTACGTGTACACTTTAGCCATCACCCATGCTGCAGAATGCAGGTGTTCTTTATTTTCTGGTTTTAAAAGTTTCATAAGATGATAAAGATGGTCGAATCTGATGCAAGCATCTGAGAAATGCTGCAAAGCTGCTTTCCAAAGTTTCAATTTCCCTTGGTCTGTTAAATACTTTTCAATGCCTTCAACACTTTGCGCACCAATATGAAATATTGTTGGAAAAAATAGTGGCTTGCCCATGTCATCTTCATGAGTTGTAATGAAAACACTGCTTCTTGGAAATCGATTTCTTGTTACGATGTCATATGAAAGATTTGTCTTATCGTCTAGATGAGAATACAAAAAATCATCTATTATGAACGTAATTTTATTGTCATTTTCTTCCATCCACGATACATATCGTTGTATTTCATATTTGACCAGATTTACTCCATGTCTATTCAACGATAGTAATATAATATCTTCCAGATAGGTATTTTTATTATTTTTACTCTGAATTTGAAGAACCCTTGTTTTGGAAGATGATATAGTACGGTCAATTTCATGACAGATCGTAGTTTTTCCACTGTAATGCCCTCCTTTAATGACATTGACTTGTCCCACAGATTTCTTAACAAATTCTACTAAGCTGATGTTACAGCTACCACCGTCTTCTGAAATCATAGGCATCATGATGTTTTTCTTGTGAGTGGATGGGCTGGAATATTCTTTTTGGAGTATTTTGTTGATATCATCAGAAGTTAGCCCTAAAATATACGAAATAAACGCTCAGTCGGGGTAAATAACAAAATTACACTAAAAGCAAAAATTTATCAGTTCCAACATATCCCAAGTAAAATCATCAACTGACTGACAGTCACCAGTACCAGCTAAGCGCATATAAAAATAACCCAATGAACGTTTCCCCGACTCTTGACACCTGAAATATTCTCCCCATACTTTATCATTGCAAAATTTTCAGCGCTGTTTTTGAGAGTCGGGGCTTACAATTTTTGGCTAGTCTATGTAGCGTTTGCGGTATCAATTTTTGATTATTGTAACTAAACTAAGGGTCCTAAGAAAACCTAGACCGAAGTTATTTGATTTACAACTATTTTTTGGATACACAACTAAACACTGAAACGTAACACGCAAAACTACAAAAAAGAGGCAATGTTTACAACATGCTTGGATATTTGCTTAAGGCTCTTAAGGTCTAAGCCAGGGGTCGGCAACCTACGGCCCGCGGGCCGGATCCGGCTCGCGGAGCAATATAACCCGGCCCGCGACGCTTCACTGAATTATAGTAATAAATTATAGCTGTTTTGTTGATTATATTCTTTACGAAAAGGAACTTTCGTGTAGACTAAATTATAATACAACGTCACAAGTATATAATGCACAATTACTCGTTTAATAAGCCTATAATTTAATTATAATTTAGACAAATGGCAACAAAACGCAGAAAAGTTGAGGCTAAGTGCAAATGGCTTAATGGCGCAAAAAATACTCAAATGGTCAGTCTTCGCGCGCTGCTGAAAATTTAACTTCTGATCTGTGTGATAAAATGTGATTCATCGGTCATCCATTCGATTTTTAACTTTCTAAAAATGACTTGCAACCTTTAATTTTGACCCGCGAGCGACAAAAGGTTGCCGACCCCTGGCGGTAATAATTCTAATTGTTACGTCATAAATAACTTATTTCTAATTTGTAGTTGTCACGGAAAGAAAATAGTTGCTAGGGGAAACATCCATAGTATTTGACTTACCCATTAAAACAGTTGTTGAAGCTGGACTCGACTGCTTTCTTGTTGATCCCTCGGCATATATTTTGACATTGTATTCAGAAGTAACACCATTACTCTTGAACGTTACAAAGTTTTCTTCTGTTTTTTTACCATTTTTTCCCAATCTGACCGGGAGTGGGTTATTACCACGTGGCTGTATATCCACCGAAGCGAAGTCTATTCCCACTGGCATTTCCCATGATATTGTAGCAATTTTTCCAGGTTCTGCCTCATCCAACACCACTTTAATAGATTTCGATTCTATCTCTGGCATTTCAGCTGAAATAGAACAAAATTTCGTTGAATGCTTGAATTGAATGATGTATTAAACAAGTATGAATGATCGAATTTTGTTCTGGATCTAGATGAAAATTCCGACAAAGTATGAGCAGGTGCATCATTTTTTATGCTACTTTACCAGCCAATATGTTGAACCAAGTCCCGTATCCTATATAGTTTGTCGTTTATAAAAACAGTACACAATTTGAAACAGTACTACGATTCGAAAATAGAGTAAAGAAATTCAAAAAGACTTATTTCCTGAAAAGTTGACCCAAATACAATACTGTACAGCAACGGTTCACAAAATATGCACCGCGAAATTTATACAGAATTTTTTTTAAACATAACTAAAATATAATTGAATATTTTACATATTGTATTTATTATAAATGTTTTATTGTTCGTATTTAATGCTTTGTATATGAATCAGTGAATTTATTTTTCTTTTCTATGTCGTTTACTTTCTGTTTCGTAACAATAAATGTAGACACTACTCGCTGCAATTTCGCGAGCTGCAGTTTATGTATCTGCTAAACCGAGTTTAGCGAACATAAGTTATGTTTTTGGCATTTCGGAGGAAAATCGGGCAGAGATGAGAAAGAGTTGACCTTTTGCCTTTATTCATTAGGCCTACATTTTACAAACTTTAAATAGCATGAGTACACATTGATGATCACGAAATAGAGTTTTATTCAAAAGCAGCATTTTTTCGTGTAAGTGCGCCGTGAGTTTTTTCCTGATAATTTGGGACCGCGCGAACAAAAAGTTTGGCAACCACTGGTGTACAGTATCAATTGCAATTTAGCGACACTTTGCTTCAATCCTACTTTATTCCCACATTTCAGTAATTCACGCCCTGAGGAATAACTTACCCATTATGTACTTGACTGATAATGCTGTGGGACTTTGGACATCACCGATGCCAGAATAAATACTAACATCCACATTTTCAGATTCGGCTGCAATTTCATGATAATTTTCTTTTGTGACAGCTGTTCTACCGTATACATTTCTAATATTTATCTTGAACCATTCGACTTGTGGCGGCCGATCCCATCGCATCAAGACCTTTTCCCAAGGTTTCTGAGAATCTGGTTCCCACTTTACGGTGTCTGCTTGTACCAAACTTATTGTTGCTAGAAAATGAATTATAGTTACTTAACCCCTGCTTTTTCACAATTTTTTTTCTTTTATTCCTTCTCTTATACACGATAACTGTATTGGTTTCATTCGTCTCTGAGTAATTCAAGCCTCTTGTTGCCCGTGTGAGAAAAAAATCTTTACTTCGTTCTCATAAATATGTCAAACAAAGTATAATTTACTTATCATGTTTTAATCACATTTTAGATACATACGCAGAATTAAAATCAAAATTATCTTAAAATCTTGTATCCAGGAATTTTATTTGAAATGCCTCTTTTTATGGCTCTATTTTTCAACGTTGGTTATCGAGTTACATAGTAGCAACATTCTATTTCTCTTTTCTCATAACTTCTCTAAATTGCAACACTCTGTTATATTACTCTATGTTTTAGGTACCTGTACTTATAGTAATTTCCGCAGGGTGTCTGCTACTAATAGTTCCACAGAGCGAAAGTAATTTAATGTGATATTGTTTTGCAGGATGTGCAACGTTAACTTTTAATTTGTTATCCTTAATATCTTTTTCGATGATCCTAGAATCAACATACGCCGAGAATGACTTGGCACCTTTCGGCCAATCCCATGTCAAATGAAACACCGCCCAAGGACTGACTTTGTCAAGCGATACCTTCAAGTTAGACGGTGCCATAAGCCCTGTTAATAAAATAGTGAGTACTATTGAATTAAAAAAAAAGAATAGGAACTTGGGTAAAGACAAGAAGATCGCTGACTGCCTATTTATAGTATATTCTGAATAGATTGTTAAAAACAGTGCCTCGCACCATTTTACATCTCAACTAAATTGCTGTCCATTTTTTAAGCCAAGTCTGACTTTATAAATATCTCACAAGATCGACGCTCTCCAATGCAATTGTGCTGCTTGGATTTTCTGAAAGATAAAAACGGTAAAAATAGTGTGCTCACCCAATCTAAAGATTGATGTTGTTGGCAGCGGCTGCCTGCGTCCTGCAACCATAGAATATATTTCAACCAGGTAATCTTCACTTTCATCATTCAGCTTGACAAATTCAACAAAGTTTTTTTTGTGAATCTCCTGTCTTATTTCAACATATGGACTGGCTTTGGAGTGATAAACAGAATGTAGTCGATTCCTAGCAACCTGAAGATGATGTGACTTAATAGCCACTGATACATGTTCTACCCCAGGAGGCATTTTCCATGATATTGTTGCCTTTTCCCAAGGTTTTGTGTCGTCTAATATCACTTTGATAGAATCTGAATCTATTCCTGGAACATCATCTGCAATATAATCGATTACAATGTATGTCTCGACATTGAGACACAAATAGCTACTTACCCTGGAGGAAGTGTATCTTTTCCTGTTAGATACCAGCCAACAACGGAAAGAAGCCAAATTGTGAAATGTTTTGCGAGAACATCTTAATGCGGTTCTTTGAATAAAATTTTGCTAAAATTAAATTTACTAAAACTTACTCTTGTTTAAACAATTATACCGCTATTGTATCTAAACAAAAAAACGTCTTGTAAATACCTGCTGTTATAGAAGTTGTAACAGGGTATTCACTTCTGATAGATCCACACATTGAATATAGTTTAATCCTGTATGTTTCTGTTGGTTTTGCATCACAAAATGTGAATTTGTTTTTCTTGATATTATTTCCAATGCATTCATCATTGCCATAAATTAAAAAAGACTTGGCACTTTTTGGCCAATCCCACTCAAAATGAAAAATTGCGCAGGGTCTTAATTCATCTAAGCTTGCTTTAACCCACTTGGGTGGATGTAAAAGACCTGGAAAGTAAGATGCACCATCAATATAAAGTTGCAGTATTGAAAAATATCAATTTATTGATTCACTTTATGTAGTTCTCGCGAAACCTATGCATACCAATCGAGTTAAACTGCCTGGGATATCGAATCCAAGTAGTGTCCATACCAATCCACAGATCAGAAGTCTTGAAATTTCGCGAAGTAACCAAGGATCAATTACCCACGCAATTTTGTATGTCTTCGTGATTATTACCTAGTCTTCTGTCAATCCTGGTATGTTTACTCAAATGAAACAGTCTAGAGCGGGGCTTTATAGACTATTTAAGCCTTGAGTCGACAAAATCCTCAAAAAAGAATGATTCAAGTATTTCTGCCATAACAAAAAGAAGCATTGCTGAAACTTGGATATGTTTTAAAATATAGAAGAACTTCTTCCTAACCTGTCATAATCTTTATCGATGCAGATTTTCCAAGAATGTCGTTGATGTTGTACGCAGAAACAACAAACTTGTGCTTTGTGCAGGGCAAAGGTTCAATTAATTCAAATTTTCTTATGTCAATATTTTCCTCGTGAACCTTCTCATCCAGTCTTTCTCCAACAAAAACTTGGATCAAATAAAAGGGAATGTTGCAGGGTAATTCCTCCCATTCAACAACAATTTTATTTCCAATTACTTCAGCAGTAAGCCCGGAAATCTTTGGCGGTGCTGGAAGTAAGAGTGATTGCAAAATATAGCAGACGTGAAAATATATAAATTTTCATATAACAAATAGAATAAATCTGTTAAAAGTTCAGAACCATAGCAAGAATACCCTGCTCATTCCCAGGAAATATATACTAGTGCACCTGGCTCAATGATGGCCATTGAGAATTATTGCAAATTCAATTATTTCTAATTCAATTAACTAACCCAGAAGAATAGAGCTCCTTTCACACCATTCTCCGAACTCAAACGTGTTAGCCGCTCTCACTCGCACTGTGTATTCATTGCCTTCCTGTAGGCATCGGTATTTGCACCGGTTAGTATTTGTTACTTTGAGAATATTCTCGATCTCCTGGTTAGTTTGGATTTCGATTTCATAATACAAGATTCCATTTTGTAATTCCCATTCAATATTGATATCTGTGGACTGATTTCCACTGCACAAATCCAGGCTCTTAATGACAGATGCTTTTGGTCCTGTAAAGTATAGAACGGGTCTTCTGTTAGAATACTTTTCATCGACTCAATCTTGCATAGAATTGACTAAATTTTGAAAATATGAACTTTGGTATCATTTAAATTTGGTAGAAGTTAGTTTAGGAGAAACTTATGTATGGAAATATATTTTGTTCAAGGCAAAATTTAAATTGGAAGAATATTCATGATTCGGATATGTTTTTTTCAACATTCTAGCCGATGCACTTTCTTTACTCAGGAGAGAGCGCAGTTTATAAGATGACCTAATTGTATTTCAAACCATGGCCATAACCAATCGTTGACTGTTTTGGTTTGGAATTTGGATTTTGAGAAAACTGTAACTTTCCAGTGATTACATTAAACCAGCGTTTCTCAACCTTTTTTGGTCGCGGACTATTTTCTCACCGGCGAAAGCCTTTGCGGACTCAACGTGCGTTTATTGCAAATGTACTCTGCGTGAAGAAGTAATAAAACCAAACAGAACAGAATTTTAGCGAATTTCAAAATCGGAAAATTCGCCGCAATTGCGCGTTTGTTGATAGAGCCAATTTTTGGGCCTTTTCTGTCGCATAATATTCAATCCATGACAACGACGAGAATATAAAATGCCTTTCTATTTTAATTTAGTTGTGTTCATGGCCACTCGCGGTTGCGTCGACTTATGACAAGATGAAAGCACTACTTCTCTAATGCCACGGCAATCTGCGAACATAATAATGTGAGAATATATTGCCCGATTATATTTAGTTTTGATACATATTTTTTACGATCTTGCGAAGTTGTTATCGCTGTTAGAAAAATCCTACTATCTACTATGAATTTCCAGAAAGTACAACTTGATTCTAGTATTTATTAAAAATATAATTAAAGTATATTAGTAAATAAAAAATCGCCTTTCTTTAATATTAATTTAATTGTGGTAATTTTAATCTGCGGTTGTGTTGACGAAATAGAAGCAATACTACTCAGAAAATATCATGACAATCCGTGGACACAAAAATGCGTGGTAAAGTGCCCGATTATATGTTGTTTCGATTCGTATTTTTGTGAATTCGACAAGAGTTGAATAACACTTACGGCATTCCAGTACTGTGCGTACCAATGTGGAGGCAGTAAAGCAAAGAATCCTAAGGGAAAATGCCCTGATACGGATACTACAGTAGCACCCGAAATTTTGCGATTTACAATGTTCAAATAAGCGTTTTTAATATCATAGAACTTAACTTTGGTGTTTTCCGTTTTATTTTTAGTATTTTGTATTGCCGCTTTTCAATTTAGAAAATTTAGGTTGCCACCATTGACACCTACCAGAAAAGAAAATTATTCCTCGTTGTTCGAGATCGCGATAAACGCCACTTAGATATCTATCCACGCGTTTGCCGGCCTGTGTTTTCGTCGGAAATCCGCAAGTAAGTTGTGAACTCCAATCGTTTGATGAGGCGACGCGCAAGTGGCCTGTCGCGTCACCTGTTACCAAATATTCGAATAGTAAATTGCTATTCTAATAGTTAAATATTCGAATATATGCTCAGCCCTACTCAGTACCCAGTAATTATTGACTCGATTAATGGTATATGAATAAATTTGCTTTTTATATTTTATGTAAATTGTAACCTAAATCGTAACTTTGTTAATGGTCAAGTTACGCAAAAACGTTTGCGGCCCGCAGTGAATTTCTGGCTCGTTGCGGACTCATTCCAACGCTCCGCGGACTCATTTGAGACCGCGGACTCGGGTTGGGAAACACTGCATTAAACACTTAAACATCATTCCTGTCACTGACTTGTTCATGTGATCAATATTTAAAACTGAGATACCTAAACAGTGTATGCCACGTACTTGTTAGAATATTCTTTGATCTTGTGATTCTACTTTTTCTCACACCATTCACAGTTTGTACTTTGACAAAATATGTTGTGTTGTTCTTAACTTTGTCGAATCTGCAAACGCTTTCATGTGTTGACTTTTCTTCAACATAAACATCATTTCTTGCTTCAAAAAGTGAAACAATGTTTTGCAATCCATGTCTGGCTTGATTTAGTTGCACTGTCAGTGAATTGTCTCCATCAGCATGCAATGAAATGTCTGCCGGAACCCAAATTTCTGTGAATTGTAACAAATTACTTCTGTCAGATTCCCCGAACCATTAACCATTGGTAGGTGTCAGAGGTAAAAGAAATGCAGAATAAACTAAGAGTACGGTAGCAAGCCCCGAATCGGGAGAGTGATACAACAGCCTAATGGAGTTTAATCAAGCAGTGAGATATTTGGGCAATTTATTAGTGCCTGTTTCTAAATGCTTTAAGTTTAAACTATTAGTTCCCAACCTTTTTCGGTAAATTTTCATCTATTTTGGAACACTGTATTCCTCCATCAATATGCAATAAAACTACTTTGTTCATGTAATCTCTAATGCATCCCCATTTAGTGTCCTTACCCAAAGTGCGAGTCGCAGTTTCGCTATTGTACAATTTAAGTAGTTTATAAAGTGTGCAATAATAAGTGTTATAGTAATAATAAAGAACTAAAGACTATTAGTAATACTGCATTTACCTGTTTTTATTTTGTCCTGAGAATCTTTTCCGTAACCGCTTTTATTACCAGCTTTCACTGATATTCTGTATTCCGTGTCAGGAGGTAAATTTTCGAATTTGAACTGCAAATTCTTTATTACATGTTCTTGTAGAAAACCATCTGACATCGCTTGTATTTTATACATCGTGGCATTGGGGGTTTCATCCCATTTACAAACGATCATCTTATCAGGGTGCTGATCATCTAGCTTTATCTGAAGATTCTGGGCATATGATGGTCCTGAAAAACATTTACATGCAGAACTTTTAGCTATACATGGTTTTTTGATGAGCAGTGGGGCAGAGATAAATTTACATCTGATTAAGATTTCAAGGTATTTGAACAAAGACTGTTCTGACTGCCAACTCTTGTTTTTCAAATATTCGGATATATTTGTTCAAAATTTAAATTATGCTTTCTAAAAGCCTTCGACATTATAACAACATAAAAGTTACCGACTGCTCTTCTACACTCTGTGAAACCGCCCAATAGAAGAAAAATTAAACTAACTTGGATCTGTTGTAACCTCATTCGTGAGGCATCCATCACTTTTAGAATTATTGTAGACTGCGATGATACTGAACTGATGTGGGAGACCACTCTTCAATCCGTCTATTGAACAGCTAGTTGCATTGACTTTTATCGTCATGTCGGGTCTATTTGCCTCTTTCACGAGATAATGTGAAGGAATCGATTCTTCCGGAGCTTCCCATCTGAGGTCAACACACTCTGTCGGCTTTTCTTTGTTCAAGAAAGCCTTCGCCATTCTTGGTATGGAGCCGCCACCTAAATGCAATTTTTTTAGAAGATATTTAAAAAAGGATGATAAGTAGTTACGACTTCCCCCACCTTCAAGTCCATGCATCTGTAAACTAATAACTGGCTAACTAGTACCATACCCGGCATGGACTGGTAAACGGACGAGAGGCGGGATTTCGCCATATAATTAAGCCATCTTATCATCTTTCCTATACCCCGGGATAAATATGTTAAATTCTATCCCATCCTGAGATGATTAATTAATTGCATGGCGAACCACAGCTTTTATGCAATTTTGATTCGATTTTGATACCAAAAATAAATTACCTATGTCAGATGCTTAGTTATTGGACTGAAATATGCATTTGTTTGTTTTGCATTTGTTTAGAGAGTTCTACTGTTCTACCTTTTTTATACACAAGTTTGCTTTAAGTCAACTCCTAATTTTTCAACCAAAAGTGGAAACAGTACTAATAGAAGAGTCATAATTTAATCCCCACTTATGTGCTCGGAGCTATATATTTTCTGATTTTGTGACATAGGCGTAAGTGGTTTAGTAATCCGAAATAGCAAAGGTCAAAATGGGTCAGAAGAAAAAAAAACAATGTAATGGTTTGTCTTACCTATCAAATAGTTTATAGTTTTTGTGGTGTACCGATTGTCTTTACCATGGGCAGTGACTTGGAAGGTGTAATAAGTTCCAAGATTAAAATCGCCAATCGGTTTTGTGTGCTTTGTCAGTGATTTGCTGATTTCCTGGTATTCGATTTGCCTTTTACTTTCGGACTCAAATATTTTTAATTCGTATTGTTCAGCACCCCGAGAACTGTCCCATCGTACCAGCACTTTCTGCTTGTCAACTCCGACTCTAACATTAGGTTCTGTAGGCCCTAGAATACAAAAGTTACATAGTTGTTATAAATAAAAAAAAATACATTTTCAAATTATAATTATTTCTTTGTGATGTTTTCTTCATCTGCAGTTGCTAACATGCTTGAGAGAGACACAAGTCTTAAACCTCAATTTCTTGTTGTGCAATGGTTTCAAAATGTGGAATTGATGGGTACTTAGTTGTATTAAACCGTACATAACCTAGAACTACATTTTCATTTTGCAAACTTGCAGAATATGTAAAATCACAAAAGATTTATCTCAAAGGCATTTGTATATGTTGGTTACAGAAATACCAAACTAAGGTTATGAAATATGGCTACATTGAACTATGGGGATGATGGGATGTAAAAACTCACTTGAATGAAAAACAGTCTTTAAATCTGCTTCAATTATCTTCTCTGTATCAATTTCTTCATATTTTGTTTTTATATGCACGGTATAACATTTACCCAAATTGATAAGAAATTTTTCTGTACAAGATTGGTCGGTGAGATGTTTAGTGAACATCGTATGGCCGTCTTGTAGCACTTTAACATCATATTGTAGAATCTCATAATCATCGGACTCTCCTGAAAAGCCGGGAGGTTCCCAACTAACAGTTGCCATTTCAATGCCTCCATCATTCGTTGACATTTTTGTTTCAACGTTGCGTGGTTTGTCTGCGAAAAAGATAATACTGTAGCAGATATAAAGAGTTCATTAATGGATAATCAGGTGGGCTTTACACATAACGTATAAATAAAGATTTACACGAAGAGTCACAAATAAATATTAAGTCTTGTCATCATTTGACCAATTTCTTTTTGGCCTATCCGTATTGAATGTTGGAATCTTGTCATCGAAGGTATATTGATATGCATGCCTAATGCATGGATAATATTTTCCTTAGGCGTGTGATTTTCCTCCTTTTTATCAGTTAATGTGACAATTTTTTGTTAATCAAAGCTTAATAAAAAGAACTATTTCTGTCACAACCTGATCGTGCTTTACTTGCTGAGCGTTAGTAATTTGTAACATAGCGCTAAACAGTATGAATATTAGAGAACTTTTGAATTTTTAATCATTACAAAGTGGGAATGGCTCCTTTGACCAACGAAACAATGACTCACCAACTTCTCTTTGCGATAGAATGAATATAAGGCATATTATTACAATTATTAGCTGTGATAATTGAACTGGCATTTTTCAAAAATTACACAAGCTTTAACACAGTGCTCACCAAAATCATCTTTTCTGACATTTGTCACTTGACTGTGATCTGAAAACAAATTTACCGAATTACCAATAACAAAATATTCAATATAAATAATATGGCCCCAGTAAGAGTGTACCAAACCATTAGCACACCGTTTCACTACACAAGTCTCTTGAAAACCAAATTTTGATAGTAAAATTTTTGTGCATGATTCTTCGGACAAACTGTTAAGAACGCTTGGTAATTTCAAATTTATTTTACAATGTTTATGGAAAATTTGGACTCCAGTTGTCACTAAATTTCTACTCCCAATTCCAGGGTATTTTAACCCCGAATCACAAACCCTGATTTAGAACAGCAGATCTTGGTGTAGATCGCATGCACACCACTCAAGTCAGCCCAGGTAAGTATGCTAAATTGCGAAGGTCCTTTCTCAAACAAAGTAGCTCATTACTTATCAGCTTGCGTTCGGCCTTGTTTTCAGTAAAAACACTTTGAACAAAGAATGATGTTTTGAATAGTTTTTTTTTTATCTGAATCATATTAGTGAACTGCGATAACGCTTGGCATGTATAAACCATTAAAATATGATTTAGTAAACAAAAAGATGCTTTTTTCTCTAGCACCAAACCAATATGAAAAGTTTTTACCCATCTTACTCTACTCCAATATTTTCGGCAAATACTTACTCACTGTTGTCGGCTTTTCTATTCGGATGCTACTGCTATGAATATGGCTGTACTGCGTCGTCAGAGTAGCACTTGGCTCTGTTCAAAATAAAAACAATGTCATTTTCATTTTTGCAACCTATGAATGAAACTTCAAGCACTCTTTGTGCGGCCGTTGGCGCATTTTGATGAGCTTTAAGAAACATTTACTTCCGAAACAAGTAAATTTCTAAATAATCTCATACCCGACATGGACTGGTAACCGGACGGGGGACCGTGGTTTGCCATATGCTTAAGCCGTCCCATCGGCTTTCCTCTCCCCCCGGGATGAATATGTAAATCCAAACCTATCCTAATTTGTCTTCGTTTATTCAAATACACGCACGCATTGATTCATAAGCTTTTAACTTCGATGATATGTGAAAAATACGAGAACTGTGTTGGAATTAATGACTAGACATTTTGAATTCAATCCAGATGTTGTAACACGTAAACATTTATGAAAATGTTTTTAGGATAAGTTTTCCCTGAATGGAAAAGCGAGAGTTTTGAGGCTCGGTGTTAGGAAACAGAGAAAAACGTACTTGCATGAGTGCTGACTATGTTTGTTTCAGAATCATGACCACGATCATCAGCATAAGCTGCACGAACTAATATGCGATAATTTGTGTTGGTTTTTAGTCTGTTGAACGTAGTGTTAGTCTTGAAACATTTTTGAGTTTTTCTTTTCCCAGTTGTAGGTATACATACGACTTCATATGAGTCTGGCTTCATCTCTGGCTCCATCCATTGGGCATGTAGGCTTCTTGTTGGTTTCTCAAGGTTCACCATCGCAGTAGGATTTCGTGTAACTTTAGGTCCCCCTGTGAGTACAATTTGTTCACTAATTTTTATATTCGTTCCCACGACAAATCCTATACTATAACACCTTTAAATAATAGTCTAACAAGCAAACCTTTGAATCAATGGTGAATATATATCTAAAAGTAAAAAACCTATTATTGGACACGTCAGTGTACATAACGATCGTTTCAATATTATGTTGTTGTTTCTTATTAGTATTATTCTTCTCTTTCGTCATGATGGAATCGCTTTTCTCTTCAAATACTGGACCAATTGCTTTGAAATTTTCAGGGGTTAAAAATTGATTTTTTTGCCAGAAGGCTATTACTTTTACTTATTATATGAGTTAAAATTCATTACCGAGATGCATGGATGCTTATCCAATTAATTTTTATTTTCCTTGACAACCACATCATTTTATCTGGACATCAAGGCTCGATTACACAGATTTCAGAAATTTATCAGTATCTCATAACAGTAGCAATTGTCTAAACCAGGGGTGTGCAACCTTTATTACAGATGGGCCAGATACAAGTATTTGGGTGAAGCCGCGGGCTGCGCCATAATTTAAGATGGTTTTTCTGGTAGTTGTAGGCGCAAAATATTATTCCTTTTTGCTATGGATCTTACGGCATTGTTAGACTTCCTTGCTGTAACGGTGATTTAAAATGCCTAAATTTCTGAGAAAAACTTTTATTCAAATTTATTGTTACATCGAATTTAGTTTGAAATACGTGTTTATAACATTGTGTCTTTTGCTAGCTAGTTTTGCTAATATTGCAGTGGCAATCAGGTACTGATACAGGAACGCAAAGGGATTGGAATTGCTCGCACGAACCAGATTAACTAAACTAAAAAAACATTTGGCGGGCGCACCACTCAAAATTGAAAATTGTCGAGTATCATTTTGTGTAAAGATATTTTGCTTTAGAACTCAACCACAACTTGCTTTAAACTCAATTATACACGATGAAAATTTTTTTCTCACCAATGATACAGGTCTCCCATTGTGAATCTTTCACAACATCATTCGGACAAAATATTTTGAGCTTAATTTCACAAGTTTGACCGATTCTCAATTCTTCTTTCAACTCCCTCCGATGTTGGCATTTATTTTCAGGAAAATCTTTATGGATTATTTCTTTGGTCTTGTCCAAAACATTTCTGATGACCAAAGTATAATGTTTTATTCCTTCTGTTCTTCGCCACTGAAACTTGATGTATTTTTGATCCCATGTTGTCTCAACGACTCTCCCTGGTGCTGGGAATTTATAAATAAAATATATTATATAGTTATATCTAAAACCCTCCCCTTTTAAACATGGGACAAGCTAATTTTTTAGACAAGTTTTTCCTAGCCTTTTATGACGGAGCATAACTATTTTTGAAAAAACATATTTTAGATGAAGCGTGTAACTTTATCGGAGTGGCGACTAAGTATTCATAGCTATTGAAAAGTGGCATATTTTATTAAAAAGTGCATTAGTAAGTGCTTTTTTAAAAAGCTCGGTGGTTTTAAAAAACGAATAGTTTTAATCGTAAAGAATCAGCTACAAATACAAGTAACTACTCATAGTACGTGAGTATTCGCTCAGCAGTGTATTGTAAACAGTCAGGTTTCAGTAGTGGCTTATACAGGGCCTTTTTTGGAGTGAACCTGTTTTTACACGATCTAGTTTTGTGCGATGAATGTCGCCAAACTTTTAAGTGCCTACCCAGCCCAAACGTTGGAGACTTTGGTTGTACAGAGCCCATTTCTGAGCAAATGTGTAAATGGTCATCCGTACTTATAAGTAGATGATTTTTCAGAGCCTTATTTGTAGAGAATATGTTATTGAACCGCCATTACTATGAAATCTTTGCGCGTAATTTTCAGCAGTTGGCTGTTTTGGAGTACAGTGTAAAAAGCATGTTTGAATGAACATCCCTATACATGACCGAATTTAGACTATGAAAGGCGCTAAATCCGCCAGCTATGCCATTTGTGAAGCTTCTTTTCAACAATGACGTCATAAATATTCTATTACGTGGTCATTATAGAAGCCATAAATATTTATTTTAATTGCGTGATATACGAAATTTAATTACAGGTAAGATGCGTATGTGAGAAGCACCCAAGTAGATCGGATAGTGAGTTGAATTAAAAGCACCCAAGAATGAAGTAACATGCCATGGCATCAAAAAATCCGACGTCATAATACTTGTCTAGTCGTGAAAGGTGAGAGGCATGGCGCAATTACTGGTAAACAGAACAATACTGATGAATAAAAAATAAAATTCTATATGTTTTTTTGAGATAAACTGGTCTCGAATAAAAAAGATTCAAAATAGTAAAAAATCCAATCGTTCCTACATCCTTTGTTGCCTAGTATAGCTATAGCATATACCGTATATGCACATATTTTCTCATCTTTTTAAAAAATAAAGACGTTAATACGATAAAAAGGGTTCAATTAATTAAGCAATGTTAGCGTATTTTGTTTTTAACATGAAGGGGGTTAGAGTTTTTCAAATTCAGACAAATTCATTTATTCGACTTTACTTAATTTTTAAAGTTTGTAAACGGTGAATATTCGAGACAAGAACTGTTGACCTGATTAAACAAATAACAGTTTTTCAAACAATTCTGGGACAATCCTGTAAAATTTAAAACCGACTTAAAAATGAATGCCGAGGCCCCCAAAACTGAAAGCCCTTAGGCTGCAGCCTACCCAATGGCATAGCTTTTATCCAATACTGAGCCGCATATCGCGCTTGGTTGAATCTAAACTTAAAGTAATAAATATTAAAATTAAATATTATCGTACCTTCATTTTCCATATTATTTTTCTCTGTTCGTAAACTATACCTATAATGATTCGTTTATTACTTCATCTATCTCACACGAAACCATACTTTCGCTTACTGCTGCCTTTATGCACGCACAGGCGTACAATAGGGATGTCCTTAAAACACGCTGTAATAAAAATAGCAATGTATCAAGTAATTGCCCAGTGATACCGACAAATAGAAACCAAATCACGTTTTTTCGATGGTTAATTTGCCTGATTACTTTGATTATGAAATAAAATTACTGATATTATTGCTACAAAATAGTCGGGATTTTATTTCGTTCCTAGTCCACCAAACACTAGGAATACTACACCTTTGAATTGAACAATTTTTTACAGTGTGGTATATTTACTTAGACAATGATTGATAAGTCTAAACTCGATGACGTATATTTATTCAAGTTAAGCGCGAAAGCAAGATTTATTGAGTGCTTATGACATCAGCAGTCTGTTTGCATTCCCGCGGAATACCAGGGTCAACTGTTAATTGTTCAGCTCAGCTAATCACCGTGGCTTGGTAAGTAGGCTCCATATACACATTGTGGTAATGTCGCGCGATGAATTTTATAGAGTATGCTGTGCAATTTTGTATGTTGTTCATCCCAAGACAATTAATTTTGATTTGGGTGGGGCGGGGAGATTCGAGATTGTCATTCGTGTATTTACGAGCGTATTATTGTAAGTCGATTATTAAGTACAAAAATGACACAACCGATTGGGATAATTCACGATCAGATTTTCGAATTATTTAGTTTAATTGTATGTTTCAATTGTGAGGCGGTTAATTTCTAGATAATTACCACTTAACAGCATGGCCTAATTGTTCCACTTGTATCTCTGAAATCAACTCCATGTGCATTTCTCAGATGTGAAGATTAGGTATATGTACCTATCTATAATCTCGTGCTTTGAAGGTGCCGCTGAAACAATAGTCGCCCAAAGATCTAAGCAAGTTTCGTACAACAACATTCGACGGTATTAAAATACGGGATGGTATGACTAAAGTATGAAGTCGAAAAATGCCCGCAATAGCATTTTGCTGTAAAACAAGTATTTGTGATTGAAACAGTTTGGTTCATAGGGTTAGGGTATGCTCTTTCATACGGCGAGATTTCCTGCGGCGAATTTTCCTAGAACCATAATTAGGAACGAATTGATGCAAGTATTTCAAACGTTAACGACCATAAAAATCACACATATTAATAAAAAAAGGAAATATCATGATTTGTTTGTTGAAAAATTCGTCATCATGAATAGATACGTCTATTTCAGATATCCGTGCAAGGTATATTGAACATAACCAGTACCGGTTAGGATTCAGGTTGTGCGACATCTTGGTGCGCATACTTCTGGAGCCCTGTACGTCGGCTTGGCGTAAGTTATATTTTCATGTACGTCGCGTCCTAGATCAGTACAAGCAATTTGGTATTCAATATCAGAATAAAGATTATGTATTCATATTAATAGGAATTTTTTGAAATCCATTAAATGTTTCTGAATACAAGGTGCTAAACAAGGTCATTTGTACTATGGTAGCACAGGTAAAACCGGGACGAATTGCATTAGAAAACTTCAAAACTTGTGAGTTGAGATGTTCAATATTTAATGGGATTTAACTAGTTGTTATTAAAAAGTAAATAATAATAATCATTAATGTAGAATTGATAATCAAAGTGCATGAATTGGTCTTCGACGCAAAGTGCAGAAACTATGTGATAACGTTAACTGGGTTATGTTTAGTATACTTTAGTCCAGCGGTTCCCAAACTATGGGTCGCGACCCACCTGTGGATCGCAAAAGAAATCTTAGTGGGTCGTGAAAAGATGTAGAAAGCTTTGATTAATTGTACTGGTTATTAGGATGGGTGGCGACTCGAATACGTGAATCTTCAAAAAAAAAAAAAATTAAATTGAATTTAAATTCTAATCTGTGAAAGTTTCCTTTTTACGATCTTCTCAAAGGAACAAAAATTTGCTACACAAAGAATGACCATGTGGCTTTTTTACGCATAGCAGTTTTGTACACTTTACAGCACTTCTTACCGTGTTTTTCCGAAATCAGTTGATAGTTCTTACAATAAGCTGGGGATCGCGCGCCGTGCCTGTTTCGGTGAAAGGATTGGCGTACAACCGTGGCGGTGGCGGCCATGTGCGATGGAATGAAAGGTGTATGTGTGCGATAAGAATATAATGTAATTCTAAATCTCCATCTATTTTGGTCAAGACCGTTTGTCAAATATATTCTGTAGGACTCAGAATATGACATATATATATTTTCATTTGATTTATGAAGGTGGCTGGCGTTGCAACAATACTCGACTAAAACTCTTCACAAGTCTGGTACAATTGGAAAAGATTTCTGATTAGCTTTCCAGAATGGAAAACGACAATCTTCCCCTGCAATAGTTTGGCTTCTGAAGCAAATTAATTGAATTGGGAAAAGGAAACGGAGATCAGTATAAAATACATATCGACGATTTTGATTGGGAACTCTTCTATAACTATTGGATCGCTGCGTCGTGCGATCGCCTCGTGTTATTTGGATTATTGTATACCGGTATTTATAAATAGAACCAAGTCATATTTCCTGAAAATGTTTTGAATTGATGTCGATTCGAAACTCTAAAACCTAATTCCCTTCTGACGATACTCCGGCCCTATTTTACACGACTCTCGAATGCGTCACTATCTAAACATTATCAACATTTCAAGATAGAATCGTACACGTAATGACAAACAACAAACCTATGACGAAATTATGCTTAGCGGAAATAGACATGTTCACGCATATCAAATATTTACACAATGCTCATTCGTTTTTATTATTTTATTTTTATCAATTTCATAAACAAATGTTGTCAGTGAAATGAAAATAGCATGAATGAGCAGATTGAATATCATAGGTGGGTATTATATTTATCCCTGGGACATAGATCCAGCATGAATACACAGACTATTTATTACAAACCACTCAGACTAAATTTGATGAAAACAGCTTGATTGTTCCACGTCGCAGAAACAACGTAGTTGTAAACACATTTTTCATTTAATTGATGGTTATTACGTTCTCGGGCATGAAACAATCAGTTGTGTGCTTGTATAGGCTCCATAATAATTACAACTTTGAGCTGATAGGTGAAAATTCATATTTAAAATTTTTCCTGGAATAGAGTTTGGGTCTAATGTTTCCAAAATAATTGAAAACTGTAAATTTAAGAAAATAAAAAAATAATAGGAAATTTTATATTCATATCTAAAACAAGAGAGTTATGCTCAAATATATGGACATGTAGGACAAAACAAAATATTTCACCATCAATTCATCGAAAATCATACGGTATCCTGAACGAAGCTAAAAAACTGTGTTCTCATGAGTGAAAAATATTACAGCGAAATTTTGGATGAAATATCAGATATCGCGGGATTCATAAATTTTTTTATAATAAATAAAAGTAATAGCATCCTAGCAAAAATGAAATCTTTAAAGACTGAAAATTTCAAAGCAATTGGTCCAATAGTTAATGAAAAATTAAGTAACAACAAGGGGAAATAGAAAATTTTCAACAACAACAACAACATAATAGTGAAACGATTCAGGTCCACTACTCCACTACGTGTTCAATTAAAAAATTAAGCCAACGCTGTCGACATGCTTTGTGCATGATCATTTTTATATACAACCGTGTAATTTACATTTAACTCACTTCCGATGTAAAACTGATGAAAGGGAAAAGAGTTGTTTTCCACTCCGGAAAGCTGATCAGAATCATCCAAATGTTGATGAAAATCGTAGTTTGCATAGCTATGTCTGTAACAAACAATCCGGCAACGATTAGCACGGAAGCAGCAATATCACTGACACAACATATCAGAGTGGTGAAAAAAGCTCTTCGTAGCAAAGGTGTCAAATTGTCAGCTGCTCTACCAATGTTTCTTTGATGCTGACGTAGCGGATGGAGAAAAAGTCCTAGTATCATAACTTGCATTACAATGGAGGACACGCCAAATAACATCAATGGTATCTGAATTGGGATTCTCAATTCGACTATATCGCATCCGATATGCGTAACGTTGGTTACGCAGTTGAGAACGATAAGCAATCTATTCAAAGAGGGAACAACTATAACTAAGACTAATACAATTATACTCAAGACGCGAGTAGCGCCATTAGTTACATGCTGCATGGCGGGAATGCTATGGATTATTCGATGTCTAAGCCAAACCGTCAAATAGGTGAAGATGGGAGCACCCGATTCGATCAATATTTTCCAAACGACGTAGGCATGACAAAATTCCGGGCCGTAAAGATCGACCAAAACATGTCCTAGCCAACTAGTCAGGTAGAAAATGTTGCAAACAGCGACCAGTACTAATCGTGAAATTTTTATCCATTTTCCCATTTTTTTCCCGATACTTTCACTTGTGCTGCTCGGTCCAACTTCGTTTCTGCACAAATCAATTATAAGCATTACCATGACGTAACTTGTAGCCACAAAAAATCCCAGCGAACTGCAAACTGATGAAAGCCAAATTGCCAAACTGGCTCCTTTTAACACCAAACCTTCAACTTCTATTCCAGAAGTATTTGTTGAAACCTTCATTTTCAGTTTTTTGAAATATAATTGCAGTTATGTCTACCTTCGGTTGAGCGAATACTAAATAAATTATATTTACTTCCTATTGTATATCAAATGTACCTCGCGTTTAAAATCAATTCATGCATTTTAATCATGGTTTTCGCATTACAATTTGTTTTACGGCCTACTAATGATAGCTTTTACAAAGGAAAAAAAACGTCCATGCCGAGATGGAAGAAACAATAAAATGTTATGATTCAATATTATATATACTGTTATCAAACTATCGACGAAAAAGAATTCTCATTCAAGTCGTAGTGTGATGCAATTTTCAAATGAAATGTAAAATGCACAAATATATGGACACGCAATTTTCAATTATGATGACATAAAGCTTCTAACAAATTTCATAGATCCCACAGACATATTTGAAATAAATAGAAGTAATAGCTTTCCATCGACAACAACAACAATTTTTACCAACTGTAAATTTTGAATCAATTGTTCCGGTAGTAAATGAGAAAAGTGATTTTTTTGAAGAACGAAAAACATAATGACTCACAACAACATTATAACAAAAAATGATCTATATCAGGAGTGTGCAATTACTTTTCTGAGTGGTTTAGTTACAGATAATACACTTGGCTACTTGGCCGGAGCCTCAAAACCAACTCAATATAAAAAACTACGAACAAAAGACAGTTTATTTACATCAGCTTGGCTAATGTTCATATAAGAAGAAGAAGCACACTGTAACAATCGGGGTCCGTTATGACGTTATTTTAATCAATATTTTTGATTGAAATTTTCATCCATAAAAACGTATGTTGTAATTTCATCTGACAGAAGTGGGCCGGATGAAACACTTCGATGTGCCGGATCTGGTCGGCTGGCCGTAATGTGCCACCCCTGATCTATATGTACACTTCGTGATCAATAAGAACTTGTTTCCATCGACTGTTTGATTACAGTCAATGTAACAACAGATCATATTATTACTATATTGCCTATCGTCTTACTTTTGTCTTGGCAAGAAAGGTCTTATTATTTTTGTATAGGTCGTTATTAGTATGCGCTAAAACAATCCTCAATACGACATCCATGATTAAATGCATGAATTAAATTTTAATACTACCTTCATTAAATGCGCAATAGTGATCTATCGGCACCGAATAAAATACCATAACGTAACTTGTAGCCACAAAAAATCCTAACGAAATGCTAACTGATGAAGCCCAAATTGCCAAACTGGTTCCTTCAAGTCTAAATCTTCAACTTATATTCCAGAGATATTTGTTGAAACCTTCATTTTCAGTCTTTTGAAATATAATTGCAGTTATGTCTATCTTCCGTTGAATATGTAAAATAATATACAGTGATTTACTTTTTATGCGGTTTCATGAGAGTGGCGTAAAGTCAGTGTTGCCTTGGTGCACCATCTTCCCCCAGAAATGGATTATAAATGGATCGCCAATCAGGGGCACAATCAGGATTTTCAAATGGGGGTTTAAATCCGGAACTTTCCATGTTACGGCTTCTGAAACAGTTGTCGCGATTACGTGTTTGTTAATGCTTGTCTCACGCTTGCACTGCTCATCCAACATTTGAGGCGCTTGTCGTATAATGATTTTTCTGTCAGGTAAAATATTCAATTTATGACATGTACGAGAATTTAAAATGTGTTTCTATATTAATTGGATTCAACGTAGTTAATCTCGCAGTTGTGTCTACTTACCAAAAATGAAAGCATTATTACTCTAAAATACCACGACAATCTGCGGGCATAAAAATGTGAGAAGAACTGCCAGAACTATTTAGTTTTGATAATAATTTTTGTGATCTTGTGAATTCGTCATTGTCGCTAGAAAAATCTAAAGATTGCGATTTAATTTGGATTTTAGAACAATAAAAATCATATGAGTATATACAAAATACATATCGCTCTAACAATGCTTGCGGAACGGCACCTGGACAGTTGCCGCAATTACGCTACTCGTTTATTAAAATTTACTAACCAACCTTTGCATCCATCGCCGTTCGTTTATTGGATAATTGTTTACATGTAAGTGGTACATATGTTACCATGAATGAACATAATTCCAAACAATCACCCGTCTTTAATAAAAGGTTTAGCAAAGATGTTGCAACGATGATTTGGTACGAATCACATTAATTCTTGGTTTGAATAAGTTTAATAATCTTTTGTTGTAATTTTATAAAATAATAAAATGAGTTTTTATATGAATTCAATTTTTTGATCATGCCCAATTGTCAAATGTGAAAATTTCTATGATTCTATACATGTACCGATATCCTGTGCCATGAAAGTGGCGCCGTAACAACTCCTTTTGCCACCCCCTAAAGTTTTCCACAAGTTTGGAACAGATAATTAATTGATCGTCAAAGTGAACAATCGAAGACATTAAAATATACGACGGCGAAAATAAAGTATGGAATCAAAGTAAATGTCCACTGAGACGATAAAATTCCTTTGGTGTTACAGAACTGATGAAGAGCTTAATACGTTGGCGAAAGAACTACAGATGCACCTGTAAAACACGACAAATGCATATATGCTTACCGAAAGCTTTTTAACACTGGGGAGATATAATTTGAAATGAATGGATGATTCATTTCATTATTATCATGATTCATTTTTCAAAAAATTCATCTCTGATGTAAACCATTAAAAAAAATGTCTATTTCAGATATCCCCGTAAGGCAGGGGTCGGCAACCTTTTGTCGCTCGCGGGCCAAAATTAAAGGTTGCAAGCATTGTCGGGCCGCACGTTTTTTAGAAACCGAACGGATGATACTTTTTATAATAAAAATCAAGCAGTGATACATCGCTCGGATAGAATTTAAATTTATTTCCTCATTGCATTGCATCTCAAAAAATTCCATTTGAATCGAACCCTTAGCTTAGCTCACTTAGCATCAACTTTTCTGCGTTCTGTTGCCATTAGTCTAATTATAATTAAAGTATAGGCTCATTAAGCAAGTAATTGTGAATTTAATACTTGTTAGATTTTAATATAATTTAATCTACACGTGTCTCACAATAAATTCAGTTACGTAAAGAATATAATCGTCAAAACAGCTGTTTTGTTACTATAATTCAGTGAAGTGTCGCGGGCCGGATTATATTACTCCGGATTATGTTAATAAATATTTGTATCAATAATAAGTTCTATAAAACCACTCTTTGAATGTTAAAATCCTAAAGCCTAATTATAATGGTACTAAATGCAAAGTGTTAAATCAATCATTTAGCCCAGTGTTTCCCAAACTTTTTTTTCTGCCAGCGCCCCCTTGTACGAATTTTTAACTAGCAAACGCCCCCCAACAAAAAAGTTAAAGCAACTTTATTCCCCATTCATCATTAGTATAATGTGAAAGTTGAGTCTAGTGAAATGCCACCAGCTTGATAATATCTGGCTTTACTTCAGTTAAAAACACTCCTCCTCTGACACTGTCGAGGGAATCTAATCTCTCTTGATATGTAAAAGTGCGGTCACAGCACTAAATACTCGCTCTACCTAAAATGACCTGACAAGAGTAATAAAAAAACATTTAACCCGATCTCACTCGCGAAGATATTTCAATTTGATTCTATTTCCAAAAAGATGGAACACTAAACATGATTTTGGAAGTATAAACCCAATGATAGTGGTGCATTTTCGCTTCTGGAAATTCAGGGTTATCCAGAAAACGGAAACCAAAAATTTCTTTACTATCTCCAAAAGAATCATTCAATCTTATTCGTGCTTGAACTTCTGTTTGCGTATGATTATAGCCAATAGTTTTGCAAAATTTCCAACCGCTCACTTAGTTTTCTGCTGAAGCGCATCTTCTGCTATCAGGACATGGAAATGGAAGAGTCCAAACGGTGAATACAGAACATTACGTGTTTGTGCCGAGAAAAATCTGGACATTACTTGAGGGATTGATAGAGGTGACCAACAGTGATTCAAGCATGATGAGGCGACACCCTATACATCAATTCAGACGCTTGCTTTCCTGAGAGAGAAGTTAGCAGTGACATCCAGTAGGCACCCTAATTATCGGATTGAAACCTCTCAGATTTTGATATGTAGGGAGTTTGAAGGACAATTTGTATCAGAACAATCTTCAAACGATTGGTGAACTCAAGGTTGCGATTGCAGAAATAAAATGGAGAAATACCCAAAGAATAGTGATTGACAATGTTGCAAAAAGAATGCAATTGCCGAGTAGAGCATTTGGAACATATTCTAGGAACAACATCATTTTTGTGCAAAACGTTCTAGATTTTCCGACACTTTTGGGTACAAACATACGCAAAGAAGTTCAAGTTTAGACAAAATTGAATAATTCACTTCATTTTCGTATAAGTAATCGAGAAATTAATGGTTTCGCTTTTTGGGGAGCACGCTGTTTAATACTGTTTTTAATATAAATCGGTTAAATATGCTGCTTATATAACAACAGTCTAGATTTGCCTTTTGCCAACTTATGTATTACTTATTATTCAATGACCCAAGAAATGAAGTCGAACCAGTTGAGTCGCAACATGGAGATGGTCCCATCTGGCGTACGTCAGTTCAATCAGATGCCCAGTTCTCACATTTTGCTCCTAACAAACCAAAATTTTAACGCAAGGGTGTTGTACTTACACCACCGCTTCAAAGCACCATAGAACCCGCTAGTAAAATGAAGCTGTTATTCAAAACGAAGGAGTAAAACGAAATGTGCAGTGCATGGTGGAGGAAGCGTATGCTGTATGCGCTATGTATTATTGAAACAATACGGATTTAAAAGTGTCATAATACCTATTCTACGTTGAGCGAGAAATTTCCAAGACCGAAATCACAAGCAAACTAGTTCAAACCAAAACATAGGAGTAAATGGCATAAAATATCATACTTCTTGTGAGTTTCCGTATTGATGTCAGCGGCCCCTAATCGCCCAGTTTAACAGCCAGCGCCCCCCCAATTGCCCAAATCGCCCTCAGAGCCCCCAAGGGGCGTTTTCGCCCACTTTGGGAACCGCTGATTTAGCCCTGTTCTAACACAAGTCATGCCAGGACGCCTGATTTAGCCCTGTTCTAACACAAGTCATGCCAGGACGCCAGAAGATAAATGGTGACGCTCGCTTACTGTTAGTATATACTTTACTGTATAGAAGGGTAACGTATACGAAGGGTAAGTTATAGACAAATACATCAATTGCAATATCCGAGATGCTTATTTCAACAAACAACTCAGAACTAAAACCAGGAACCCTGGTGCTGAATGACAAATCTTTGTCAATTTGGTCGTTGGGAATTTCGATTTCGGCGCTATACTTTGCAGCTACTACATAGATTATGAAATTGCTGATCATTGATATGTTCGTGAATGGAGTCGGTATTAACAGGAACGAATGCACACACCAAAAATGCAGTTGAATAGTTCAATACTCTTATCTTAATATTTACACAATGCTCTTTCATTTATTTTTTATTTTTATCGATTTTATAAACAAATGCAATCAGAAAAGTGAAAATAGCATGAATGAGCAGATCGAATAGCTTAGGTGGGTATTATATTTAACCCTGAGACATACGATCCAGCATGAATACATAAACTAAATTTGATGGAAACAGCTTGATTGTTCCACGTCGCAGAAATAACGTAGTTGGGAACACATTTTTCATTTAATTGATGCTTATTACGTTCTCGGGTATGAAACAATCAGTTGTGTGCTTGTATAGGCTCAATAATAATTACAACTTTCAGCTGATAGGTGAAAATTCATATTTAAATTTTTTCCTGGAATAGAGTTTGGGTCTAATGTTTCCACAATAATTGAAAAAAATAATAGAAAGTTTTATATTCTTATGAAAAACAAGAGAGTTATGCTCAAATATATGGACTTGTAGGACAAAACAAAATATTATACCATCAATTCATCGAAAATTATACGGTATCCTGAACGAAGCTAAAACACTGTGTTCCCATGAGTGAAAAATAATACAGCGAAATTTTGGATGAAATATCAGATATCGTGGGATTCATAGAAAATTTAATATTAAATAAAAGTACAACCCTCCTTGCAAAAAATGCAATCTTCAAACACTGAAAATATCAAAGCAATTGGTCTATTAGTTAATGAGAAATTAAGTAGAAGAAGAAATAGAAATTTTTTAACAACAACAACATAATAGTGAAACGATCCACAGGTCCACTACGTGTTCAATTATAAAATTAAGCCAACGCTGTCGACATGCTTTGTGCATGATCATTTTCATATACAAGCGTGTAATTTACATTTAATTCACTTCCGATGTAAAACTGATGAAAGGGAAAAGAGTTGTTTTCCACTCCGGAAAGCAGATCAGTATCATCCAAATGTTGATGAAAAACGTAGTTTCCATGGATATGTCTGCAATAAACAATCCGGCAACGACAACTAACACGGAAGCAGCAACATCACTGACACAGCATACCAGAGTTGTGAAAAATGCTCTTTTTAGCATAGGTGTCAAATTGTCAGCTGCTCTACCAATGTTTTTTTGATGCTGACGTAGCGGTTGAAGGAAAAGTCCCAGTATTATAACTTGCATTACAATGGACGACGCGCCAAGTATAAACAATGGCATCTGAATTGGGATACTCATTTCGACTATATCGCATCCTGTTTGAGTAACTTTGGATGAAGAGGTGAGAACGACGATCAATCTATTTAAAGGGGGAACAACTATAGCTAAGACTAATACAATTATACTCAAGATGCGAGTAGCATAATTAATTGAATGCTGCATGGCTGGAATGTTATGAATTATTCGATGTCGAAGCCAAACCGTTAAATATGTGAACGTGGCAGCTGCCGATTCGACCATGATTCTCAAGCTTTTGTGTGAATTGCAAAATTCCGGGTTGTAAAAATCGACCAAAATTCGTCCAAACCACCCACTTAGGTAAAGTGTGTTGCAAATAGTGACAAATAAAAAACGTGATACTTTGATCCATTTTGCCATATTTTTCCCGACACCTTCGTTCGAGCTGCTTGGTCCAACTCCGTCTTTGAACATATCAATTATTAGCATTACCATAACGTAAGATGTAGCTACAAAATATCCAAACGAAATGCAAACTGATGAAACCCAAATCGCAAAACTGGCTCCCTCTAACACCAAACCTCCGGCTTCTGTCCCAGAGTTATTTGTTGAAAAATTCATTTTCAAGTCTTCGAAAATTAACCAAGACTATCTCTACCTACCGTTGAGTGAATACTAAATATTATCCCTTGAATAAAGATCCCTATTGTATATCAAAAATCAATTCATGCTTTCGATCATAAGTCTCGTGTTCCTATTTATCTTTACCGCATACTAATGATAACTTTTACAATGAAAATAATGAGCCCTTTGTTGTAGCCTAAGAATAAAAGCATATTAACAAAGGGAAATAATATGATTCAATATATAATTGACTGCGATCATCATCGACGAAAGCGAATTCTCATATTTTTATCGATCCTAGTTGCAGTGTTCTGTAATTTTCAAGTGAAATGTAATTTAAAAATAATATTGCGCAGAAATCATTGATTGACTATTTGCACACATTCAAGACAACGGCCAAAAAATTTTAAAAATCGATTTGTAAATTCATCCAATGAAAGTGAGTTGCCTGTCACTACGTATTTGAGTTATCAATGTCGGCAGTGTTGTCATAGCAATGACATAACAGCTGCAGATCAATGCTATTTGAATAACTCCGATACTCCGGTCCCATTCTAATGCACACGAATCTCGTATACGTAGCTATCAATCTCTTTATTAAGGTTGGTTAAGACTTTTTTTTTTAAATTCCATTCTATGTATTTTTCAAAATTTTTGACGCTTATTATTTACATAAAGTCGACTTAGCTTCCCAGTTATGATTTTATTTTAAAACAGCTTAAAAAAAGAGCGCAGTTTCGAATTGGCCTCTGATGACGTATTATTGAGGTGTTTAACTCCTGTTTTCGGTATTTAATTTTAGTTATCCCACCGCGTAGTTTCATAAAGATTGAAACAATAATTTAATGTTAACCCGCTACAAGAATTCATAGAACTTATGCAGCAGCTAATTGCAAAACAGTCTTGACCCTCATTTTGGTCTGCAGAATGATTTTTCTGCCTGACGCACGACTAACTTGGTTCGGTGCAGATGCTATTTTCCCTTGTTGCCGCCAGACGACGCTGTAAGCGTCCTTTGCAAGCTGCGGTTTCAGGTGTTCGTGTCGGGCTGGTAAACCGTGGTTATATTTCAGGTGACTATACCAAATAATACACAGTGATTTAATGTTTATGTGGTTTCATGATAGATTGGCATAAAGTTAGTTGCTACGGCTTCTGAAACAGTTGCCGCGATTACGTGTTTGTTTATGCTTGTCTCACGCTTGCACTGCTTATCCCACATTTGAGGCACTTGTCGTATAATGATTTTTCTGTCAAGTAAAATATTCAATTCATGACAGTTGTGTCTACTTACCAAAAATAAAAGCATTAATACTCTAAAATACCACGACATTCTGCGGGCTTAAAAATGTGAGAAGAACTGTCAAATCATATTTAGTTTTGATACTTTTTTTGTGATCCTGTGAAGATTGCGATTTAATTTAGAACAATAAAAATCATATGAGTACATAAAAAATACATATCCCTCGCCTCCAAATCCTCAAGAAACGGCATTTCAAACAGTTGCGGCAATTACGCTACTCGTTTCAAGAGCCAACACCCACTCATGATGACGTTGTTTTGGGCAAATGACGTAATTCATAGAACGAAATATATGTAGATATGGTTGGGACTCAGGAAATCAGACAACACCAAATATTTTGACTGTTCGGATTTATAAAAAGAGCAGAAAGTTATCCAAAAACGAACCTAGAGGTAAAACTAAGTCGTGTTTTGCAAGCCTGAATGCGGCGCAGTTCATCCAAAGAAACAGAAAAGCTAAATCAAAGTTGTTCGGGGCACCACAGCTTTCCTTAGCTCCGAGTTTTTGACAACACCATAATGGTATTGTAATCCACTCATAAACCAATCTATATTAATGGTAGAGCGGAACAATACCTGTATGTATACACAACAATGGAATTATTCTGAACACAAATGCTGCAGAAAACTACTACTGGTCATGTTTTCATTGCGTCTTCCGGAATGGGGGATTGGCCGACCATTAAATGTAAACCAAAGTTTGAGCAAGAAAGAAAACACCTAAAGTTCAGTAAATGCCGAAATCGTAAAAAAACATGGTACATCGTAAAACGGAATGACAAAACCGCCCTTCTAAGGTCAATGCAATAACACTAAGCATCAAACAAACAGATTCTCGAGGCAAACTTTATTTACATGAATCAAGTACAGATAATAGATAACTTGTGATCGAATGGTGAAATGTCATAGATCAGAAAATTATGAGGATGAATAAAAATGTGATTGGATAAACTGCGTCAGTTATTGTTATTTTCGGTTGTGGAGCGGGAGTTTGCATGAACTTCAACACAATTTTTGTTAGGCTGAAATGGTCGCTTCAAATTAGATTTGATAGTATATACATATTTCATATATTCGATGGGTATTACGTTCTTGGGCATGAAAACAATCAGTAATATGTTTATATAGACCCCATCGTTTCTATAATAATTTCAGCTGATGTGGGCAAATCCATGCTGGGCAATGTAATGAAATAAAATTTTCCCCAGAAAATAATTTGGGTGCAAAATAATTGAAAAATTATATTTGAAAAATAAAACGGTCAACAATAGAAAATATCATGTTTATATAAGAGTTATTAAAATCAAGTCAACGCTGTCCATAGGCTTTCTTGTTCTTCATCTCCATATGCAAACGTGAAATTTCCACTTAACTCACTTCCTGGGTGAAACTCATGAAGGGGAAAAGAGTTGTTTTCCACTCTGGAAAGCTGATCAGAATCATCCAAATGTTGATGAAAAATGTAGTTTCCATAGCAACTTTTGCAATGAATGATCCCGCAACGACAACTAACACGGAAGCAGCAGCATCACTGACACAACATACCAGAGTGGTGAAGAAGGCTCTTTTTAGCATAGGTGTCAAATTGTCAGCTGCTTTACCAATGTTCTTTTGATGCTGACGTAGAGGATGAAGGAAACGTCCCAGTATTATAACTTGCATTACAATTGACGACACGCCAAATATAACGATTGGTATCTGAAATGAGAAAAAATACATATTCCTCGCCTCCAAATCCTCAAGAAACGGCATTTCAAACAGTTGCGGCAATTACGCTACTCGTTTAAAGAGCCAACACCCACTCATGATGACGTTGTTTTGGGCAAATGACGTAATTCATAGAACGAAATATATGTAGATATGGTTGGGACTCAGGAAATCAGACAACACCAAATATTTTGACTGTTCGGATTTATAAAAAGAGCAGAAAGTTATCCAAAAACGAACCTAGGGGTAAAACTAAGTCGTGTTTTGCAAGCCTGAATGCGGCGCAGTTCATCCAAAGAAACAGAAAAGCTAAATCAAAGTTGTTCGGGGCACCACAGCTTTCCTTTGCTCCGAGTTTTTGACAACACCATAATGGTATTGTAATCCACTCATAAACCAATCTATATTAATGGTTGAGCGGAACAATACCTGTATGTATACACAACAATGAAATTATTCTGAACACAAATGCTGCAGAAAACTACTACTGGTCATGTTTTTATTGCGTCTTCCGGAATGGGGGATTGGTCGACCATTAAATGTAAACCAAAGTTTGAGGAAGAAAGAAAACACCTAAAGTTCAGTAAATGCCGAAATCGTAAAAAAACATGGTACATCGTAAAACGGAATGACGAAACCGCCCTTCTAAGGTCAATGCAATAACACTAGGCATCAAACAAACAGATTCTTGAGGCAAACTTTATTTACATGAATCAAGTACAGATAAGAGATAACTTGTGATCGAATGGTGAAATGTCATAGATCAGAAAATGATGAGGATAAATAAAAATTTGATTGGATAAACTGCGTCAGTTATTGTTATTTTCGGTTGTGGAGCGGGAGTTTGCATGAACTTCAACACAATTTTTATTAGGCTGAAATGGTCGCTTCAAATTAGATTTGATGGTATATACATATTTCATATATTTGAGGGTATTACGTTCTTGGGCATGAAAACAATCAGTAATATGTTTATATAGGCCCCATCGTTTCTATAATAATTTCAGCTGATGTGGGCAAATCTATGCTGGGCAATGTAATGAAATAAAATTTTCCCCAGAAAATAGTTTGGGTGCAAAATAATTGAAAAATTATATTTGAAAAATAAAACGGTCAACAATAGAAAATATCATGTTTGTATAAGAGTTATTAAAATCATGTCAACACTGTCCATAGGCTTTCTTGTTCTTCATCTCCATATGCAAACGTGAAATTTCCACTTAACTCACTTCCTGAGTGAAACTCATGAAGGGGAAAAGAGTTGTTTTCCACTCTGGAAAGCTGATCAGAATCATCCAAATGTTGATGAAAAATGTAGTTTCCATAGCAACTTTTGCAATGAATGATCCCGCAACGACAACTAACACGGAAGCAGCAGCATCACTGACACAACATACCAGAGTGGTGAAGAAGGCTTTTTTTAGCATAGGTGTCAAATTGTCAGCTGCTTCACCAATGTTCTTTTGATGCTGACGTAGAGGATGAAGGAAAAGTCCCAGTATTATAACTTGCATTACAATTGACGACACGCCAAATATAACGATTGGTATCTGAAATAGGATATCAAATTCGACCAAAATACATCCTTCTTGTACAACTTTGGCTGAACAGCTGAGAATCACGAGCAATCTATTTAGAATGGGGCCAGTTACAGCTAAGACTAATACAACTATACTCAAGATGCGAGTAGCGAGATTAGTTGCATGCTTCATGGCGGGAATGCTATGGATTATTCGATGTCTGATCCAAACCGTCAAATAGGTGAAACAAGCAGCACCCGATTCGATCATGAGTTTGCAGCTTTTGTATACATAGCAAGATTCCGGGTAGTACAAATCGACCAATATTTGTCCAAGCCAGCCAATCAGGTAGTGAATGTTGCAAATAGCGACGAATATAAAACGTGATATTTTGATCCATTTTCTCATTTGTTTCCCAACACTTTCGGTAGCGCCGCTCGGTTCGACTCCGTCTGTGCACATATCAGTTATCAGCATT